TAGACCGTTCCGTCCGGATTTTTCCGGAGTCCGGGCCACAAATTCGGCCTAGTGAATATCCTTTCTAAGGAGTAACTACAAGATATCGGTCTGGATCTGGATTCAGTCTGGATTTTTCCTGGATCCAGAATCCTGTTCAGGTTACTAATCTGAATCCAAATCTAGGATTTTTGAAAATATCGATCTCTAGTAAATACCCTTTTACCCTTTTTTGGTTCTTAAATAAATTAAATTTTAAATTTTCTCAATAAATTTTTTTAAACTTTGATTGGAACCAGAAAACATTCAGATTTGGGTTCAAAACATAGTCTCTATTATAGAAAAATTTTAAAGTACAAATTTATTTCGAATTTTAGTAGGTAAAGCTTGTAATCAATCACTTGCTGAGGGTTTTGGGAATGCTCTTCTTTCTCGTTGGTATTATAATTTTAAAGATGGAAATTGTCAAAAATTTATTTATCGAGGAATTGGGGGAAATCGGGTAATAAAAAAGAATTTTCTTGAAAGAAAAAATTATTTTTTATTTAAAAGAATAATTATGTTGATTATGATGATTGTATGAATGCTTGTCCAGATAATTCTAAAGAAGAAGAAAAGACTTTAACAACAACAACCCCATTGCTTACAACATCAAAAGCAACAACTACAACAACATTAAAAACAAAAGGAATTAGAAAAATAAAAATAAATCCTCCTCCCCCAGCACCCCCACCAACAACTAAACAACAACAATTAATAATTAAAGAAATTAATTTAATAGAAAATCCTTGTAGTAACGGAAATAAACCTTTATTAAATCCAAATAATTTATTACCTTTTGAATGTTCACCAGAGCAAAGATGTCCAGATACTCATTTTTGTCATATTAGTGATATTAAATATTTATCACAAAAATGCTGCCCTAAAAGTAAGTTTTTTTTGAAAAATTTGGGTTACTTTTAATAGGCATTTTTCAAGAAAAAAATATTTAATTTTAGAAATTTAACTCACTCAACTAAATATAATCTCGAAAATTAAAAACTGTTTATTTATAATTTATTTAAAAATAACTAGTACTTCAAGTATTTCAACAAAAAATAATTATTCCCTCCATTTAAATTTTTGCATCTTTTAATTTAAAATCAAAAAAATTTTTCCAAAGCTCTACAGAAAATGTTTGAGTAAATTATTTTTTGTATCCGAAAGTAAAACAAAGTCTGTAGAGCATTTTTAATGTAGAATTAGCAGATCCGGATCCGAAAAAGTCGGGATATCCGGAAATTTCGTATACGAGTATTCGTGGATTTTTCAGGATCCACCAACCCTTCTCCAAAGGTGATGCCTCGAATTAATTAAATAAAATTAAAATGATTTTATTTTTTGGTATTAATTATTACAAAATAAAAAAAATAATTAAAATTAATTATTTATTATTTTCTTTTTATTTTCTTCATTCTCTCTTTAAATATTATACAAATCACTTTCTTTTAATTTATTTTCATCAAAAAACAAAATTGGCCATTTTTCAGTAATTAATAAGGCTGTGATTTATAGGCAAATGCCTATTTTTTCTGCAAGCTTGGGATGATGTAATACGTTCAAAAAACGTGTTTTTAGCTCGGTCCAATAAGTCTAGCATGACTTTTAATATGCCTATTTCTGCCTATTTTTGACTTTTTGTGCCTTTCTGCCTATTTTGAAATTTTTGGTACTATTTTTGCCTTTTTAAGCGATTTTTTCGAAATTTTGCCTAAAAATCAGTGCAAAATCTAAAAAAATCAGTCCCAAATTAGAAAAAATCAGTGCCAAGTCCCATTAATAATTTTTAGTTCGTTAAATTGTTTATTTTTACTCTGTTGGACATTTTGAACTGGGACGATCTGGTTTTGGGACGTTTTGGGGTGCGGCATTTTGTGTGTTGGGCGAGATTTCCATTTTGTCAATTATCGGGATTTAAAAAAAATTTACTCCATTTTTTTCAAAAAATGATTAAAAATGACGAATAAATGGTAAAATTGTTTAAAAAATAGTTTAGAATTTAAAAAATTACGATTAATTGGTTATTTTTTCTGTTTTTATCTACATTTTATGGTCTAATATCCTTTTTACATGCCTATTTTTGTGCCTTTTTCGGCTTTTTTGTGCCTATTTTAGGCGCCTATTTTACTGATTTTACTTGCCTAACTATCACAGCCTTAGTAATTAAAGAAAGTTGGGGAATTTTTGTAGAATAAATTAGTAATTCAATATAAAATAATGTTAAAGATGTTTTAAAAAATAAACAATTAATTGGAGCCCCAAAATAACACATTTGTGTTGCTATAGTTGAACATTCACAGGCTAATTCTAATATTATTTTTAATAAATCTTTTTTGCATTTTTCAGTAATTATTTCCACAACATTTCCATTTAAATAATTATTACAATATTTATTTGTTATTTGTTTTAACTGTTTATATTTTTTAAATAAGGATGTTATTTTATCAACATTTTCCTAAAAAATAAAGAAAAAATAATTTTTGAAATTTTAAATTTCTCTTTTATTTTTCTTTCAAAAATTTTTCTATAAATTAAAATAGACACAAAAATCTTCTGTTTGTTTGATTTAAAAAATTTCTTTTAACGGTTCCTTTCCTAAATTTTCTTTAAATGTTTTTCAATTCCAAACCCAAAGACCTTCATTATCTAGCAGGGGTGTGCGAGTTTCGCCTTCGTCTTTCGCTTTTTAAAATCACTTTCGGCACACCCCTGTTATCTAGTAGCGATGTTCGAGACTTCAGGTCTCGGTTCCCGAGTCGGGAAATTTCCCGGGGTTTTGAGCTCTCGGTCTCGATTCTCGTGGTTGATTCCAAATCTCGACTCTCGGCTTTTTTTAACTCCCGAACATCACTATGTATTATCTAGAGCTACACACTTTTTTAATGTCGTTCATTCACAATTAGAGGTTTCTCTCCAATATCTCAAAACTTTTTCCACATATTCTATTAAACCTAATTTTAATAATTTATTAAAAATTGTTTTGACATTTTATCAAAAGTTTTATTTTTTAATTTACCTTCAACAATTTATTCATCCCTATTAAATTCTTTTTCATATTTTTTCCTTCATAAGTCATTTTTCCAATTTTCCTTCTAATTTCCGACAACTTTTCTTCCAAAATATATTTTTTACAAATTGGATGGTCTTGATTAAATGTCATTTTTATTTTATGGGGAATTTTCCAAAAATCATCAAAATAAATAAAATAATACTTAAATTCCCCATTATTTTCATTTAATCCTTTCAAAGCATTTTCTTTTGCATTATTAAACATTTGTACTTTTTTACAAAATTCTTTTTTTATTTCTTCAATTTCTTCTTTATTTGTTTTAAATTGTTCACAAAATTTTATCAATTTTTTAATGAATCTTTTATGGAATATTTTTAAAATTTCGAAATTATCTTCATTTGTTTCTCGAACTTAAATAAATGTATTTACTCTTTTTTAAATTAAAATATTTTAAAAAACCTTGATTAAAATTTTTAATAATTATTTCATTTTCTTCTTCTTCTGAAAAAATTATATGTACAGTCTAATCTAGGGTTGTTGGTTCTGGACCGAACCGAAGAACCGAGGATTTTTCGGTTCGGTTTTTCGGTTCGGTTTCGGATATCCAAAGATTTTCCAGGAACCGACAACCATAGTCTAATCAAATTTTTAGAATACCTTTTGGTTTGAAAAAGTTGTAGGGATGCATACCAGGGGCAGGTTTAGTCTCTTATCTTCTGGAATCTCGTGTCTCGTATTTTGTGGGACTAGGCTTACCCCTGATGCATATCCGATCCCGACCCAACTTTTTTCTCATCCCGTGATATCCCTATGAGGGGGGAGGGGGGGGGTAATCATTTGGGTAACTCCAATGTCCAGACACCTCTTTATTTAATATTTTTTTAAATTAATTAATTAATTAATTACCAATTTCATTCTCTTTAGTTAAATAAATTAATAATAAAAATATTAAAATAAAATAATTATTCATTTTTTAAAATTAAAAATAAATTCATATTTAATTATTTAATTATTTTTATATACATGTCCAATACTCTTATAAACTTTTAAAGTGCAAAATTTCTTAATTATTATTTTGTAATAATTTTATTTTTCTTTTTAAAAATAAACAAATTATTTCAAAAATTGTCTAAAAATTATTTCCTCTAAATTATATTTTACGAAAAAATATCCTATGAGAATTTTCTTTTAATTTTTTTCTTCTTTTGAGGCCTCTAATATTTTTTATATATTATTTTTTAAATAAATTTTTAATTTAAAAAAAGATGGAGAGCCGTGTATACAACCATTATCTGAAGGTGAAGGAAATTCCAAACTTGAACGTTTTTATTTTGATTCAATAAAACGTCGTTGTCGCCCATTTATTTATCGTGGAGCTTTGGGAAATGCTAATAATTTTTTGTTTGAAAATGATTGTGAATATGTTTGTTCTGGTAATTATTTGGAAATTTGAAATTAATTTGGAAGGAATTAAGGGCATTTTTTGGTCAAAAAATAAAAAGAGAATATACTTATTTTTGATTTTTTCACACTTTAGTTGTCCAAATCTTGGAGAGGAAACAATTGTGCCTCTTACATGAAAGTATATCTAAGACTGGGGTTATTGTTTAGGTAACCCCCTCTCCCCCTCCAAGTGGCTAACAAAATTAAAAAAACATCTTAAATTAAGGGCTTTTAGTTGTAGGTCTACATACTTAGTAATGAAAAACTTAAAATAAAAAAAACTTTAAATTTTCCAAAAATTTTTATTTTTCTTTTCAAAGCATTTATCCATCCAAATCCCTGTTCTCACGGCCATCCTCTACCTATAGATGAATATAATAACAACCAACCCTTAGTTTGTGGCAATAGTGAATTGATTGATTTTAGTTTATCCGATGCTTCTTTAATATCTTCTGGATGCCCTAGTGGTTATTGGTGTCATGTTGGATCTTCTCCAGACACCACAAATTGTTGTCCACATACACCTACTATGTCTGGTAAATAATATTTTTCTAAATTCCCCCATTATTTCTCATTAGTTAATTTAATCCTATTAATTAAAGGCAGTAACAATAATGTTTGTGATTTAAAATTGGAATTGGGTAATGGGACGGAAAGACTCGACCGTTGGTATTTTGATTCTTCAGTTCGAAAATGCCGTCGGTTTTGGTATACAGGTACTTGAAAGATTAATTTTTATAGAAACCCCTCTATATAAAATAATTTCATTATAATAGACATTTGTTGTTTAACTTAACTTTGGGTCACCCTAATAATTCCTCATTTTTCCCTAATTTCTCAACAAATTTTTACGTCTCAAAAGTTTAAGGACATATCACATGACTGTTAAACAAAAAAATATTTCAAAAAATAAATTTTTTTAATTAAAAAAAAGGTCTAAAAGGAAATAGAAATAATTTCCTTTCACGTGAACATTGTCAACAAATATGTGAAGATAATACAAATATTTTAATACCTGATGATATTTTACAACAACAGGGGCAAATTAATGGAAAATGGTTACCAAAAATTTTATTTTCTAAAAAAAGAAATTTTTGTTTGCGAGGAGAGCCTTTAATTAATTCTTTTGATGGAAATTTAATAAAATGTGGAAGAGAAGAAAAAGAAGGGGAAAATGATAAAGAGGATGGAGAAGATATTGAGAATAATAATAATTGCCCTAATACCCATTATTGCCATATTGGGAATTCTATTGAAGAGAGTGGTTGTTGCCTTAAATCTGGTAATTTATTCTTTAAACTTTAAAATGATTGAAAAAATTGTCCACAAATCAATCCACAATAGAGCCCAAACCTGAAGGATTGCGAGATCGATATTTCAGAAATCCCCAATAATATAGGTAGATTTTTGGATGAGATATCTTGTCTCATTCACATCTCTTATCCATAAGGCAACAAAAATTGTTTAAAAAAATCTGTCATTTTCTAATAATTCTTATTTAACTCTCTCTTACTGCCCAATCCTCTTTATTAGATTTTTCTTTCCCCTTTTCCCTATAATTCCGTTCTAAATTTCAAAGTTTCAAAAATATTTAAATAGCTTTAACATAATTATAATTAGTAAAAACATTTTAATCAAACTCCCTCTAAGGAATTGATCATTGTCTTCTTCCATTAAATAGAGGAGTAAATACTGGACAATGGCAAGTTCGTTGGCATTTTAATGTTGCAACTGGTAATTGTGAAGTATTTGATTATGCCGGGATTAGAGGAAATGAAAATAATTTTCTTTCAAAAAAACAATGCGAAAAATCTTGTATTGAGAATAAAAAAAGTAAAAAAAATATTTAAATTAAAAGAAATTTAATTTATTTAGATAAAAAGCTTTGTCCACATGGGGAACCTAAATTAGAAAGTAATGGAAGAACTTTAGAACATAAACAGTGTGGATTAAATTCTTCTGTTAATACAGACTGTGGAGAGGGATTTTTGTGTCATTTAAACACTGAAGGGGAAATTGGGATTTGTTGTGAGGTAATTTGTGGGGGGAAATTACTAAATATTTATTTGAAAGGGGAAAATAATCCATGTCTTTTTTTATCAGAATATTTTGATGGGTTTAGGTCGACTTTAATTTCAACCTTTAAGTAAAAACTTCTATTTACTCCACTTATTTTGATTAATTCAAATTTTAAGCCAGACAAGAAATGTTTTTCAAAATTTCATAAATAATTCTGATCAATTACGATAATAGAAAACATATTGTTCAATTATCAAAGTCCCTCAAATAATTACCCCACCTGCTTTTATTACCCCCTCCAGCGAGAGATCGAAACAATAATTACCCAGGGTAATTAATACAGCATATTTTAAAATATATTTAAATATATTTAAAACAAAAATATTAAAACATTATTTATAGGACCCATCTTATTTTTGTCTTCAACCAAGAGACCCAGGGCATTGTAATGAAAACCAAATCCGTTATGGCTATAATCCAATGACTGATACTTGTGTTAGTTATAGGTATAGCGGCTGTGGTGGAACTCTAAATAAATTTGAGACTTTTAAGAATTGTAAAGAAATTTGTTGTAGACAATATATAAAAAAGAATAAAATTAGGTGATTTTAAAGAGATAATGTTTTTTGTATTTTTTAAAATTTTCTCATATTTATTTAAGACATAGTTAACTCTTGTTAATATATAAGGGCAAATAGCCAGAAATATTCCAAATTAAAAAATGCCAGATTTAGGTTCAACCAACTATTCAATTTGAAATTAAGGAACTCAAAGTCCTCATAATTAGAATTTGTTCTTCAAGCCTAGTAATAAAGGAAGGGAGGGATAAGGCACTTAAGATCAGCTGGCTATTTACCCTTTTAAATCTCAAATACTTCTTCATAACCTAAATCAACTGCATTTTATTTGTTTTATTTTCGAAATACTCCTACTTGCAATAATAATTTTTCTAATTTTTAATTTATTCAAATAAGATTAAAATAAAATATTCAAGTATCTTCTCATTTATTCGTTCATTTTTACTTTAAAATAATAAAAAAAATTAAAATATGTAATTACAATAATATTTTCTATAAGGCACTTAAAAATAAATTTAATTTTTTCGTTCGAATATAGGCAACAGAATCATAATATAGGATTTAATGAGATAATGAAAATAAAAAAATGCTTTAAAATTGTGAGGCAAAAAATATACAAAACTAAATTAAAAAATATTTTCACATAATAAATTTTAAATTAGGGTTAAACCCTTCGATAAGTCAATAAAGGTTTCTGTTTTTGTAGTCCACCAATCAAATATATTAAAACCCCAATCTCAATTAATTGAGTGTTTCAAGAAAGATTCACCCCGGAACTAGATAGACACATATATAGTGTCACAATTCTTGTCCCAAAAAAGTTCGTCTTAAAGTAATATTTGAGAAGGGTTCGATAATTCAATAAAAAAGTTTCCTCCCCTAATTTCCTTTCATTAATTTATTTAATTTAACCCTAATTTCCAAGACGAGAATTTTTTGAAGTAAAAAAACTATTTAAGAATCATGCATAAATTTCTGATAATCTTTACATTGAGCTCTAAGTTGTCTTAAAATTAAATCACAAAAATCAGTTGGAAGTAAAGTTAAATTAATTTCCGTTCCTTTTTGTAATAAATCTATTCTTTTAAAAAATTGTTCATTTTTAGAATATAAACTTAAAGGAATTCCATTTAATTCAGTAATTATTGCTGGGACTGTTCTTTCTTCAATTTGTTTAGTATTTTGACTATTTGTTGGTTCGGGAATATAAAAATAAGAAGGGAGAGAATCTGGTATAGAAGCTAAATAAGCTGGTGAACCTTTTATTATTGAAGAAATCTGAAAAATAAATTTTAAAAAAATTTATAATTTTATAAATTATAGAAATAAAAGGTTAATATCCTCTCCCGAACAAATAGGAAATAGAAGCCTTCCCAATTCAATCCCTAGCAAATTTTTTCATACCCAAAGTTTTAGTTTTGTTGGACACAAAGCAAATCACCGTATTTTTCCAAATACAGCTCCATGGGGCTGTATTTTTCAACTATCCTCCAGACTGGGGCTGTATTAGGGAGTGGGGCTCTAATTAAAAATGGGGCTTTATTTGGAAAATTACGGTAAATTAAATTTAATAACCCGATCGAAAATTAAATTTCAAACTCTAAGTAGATATCTCAAAAGATTTCAAAAAAATTTCGATAATAAAAAAAATTTAAAACTACCTTATTTTTCTTTTTATGTAATACAATGCCCAAATCCTTCCCATTTTCACTTTCCTTCTTTAACGTGTAAATTTGTGCATTAAAATTAGGTTTAATAACCAATTCAATCTTTAAGAAATATTTTAAATAAATTTTTAAAAATAATTTTACAGGAATTCCAGGTGTAGAATTTGTATATATTTCTGGTAATTGTTTAACACTATAAATTGTAATACCAGCAACTTGGCATAATTCATCTCCAAAATGTAAAATATTTTGTAAAGATTTGTCTGCTATAGGTTTCCATCCAGCCATTCTAATAAAAAAATTTTAATTTTAAAATAAATAGGAAAATTAAAGAAAAAAATTATATTAGTAGTAGAAGATAGTTAGTAGAACTCAAGTTAAAGAGGGTGTTATAAAAGAAATAATTACGGTTTACGCCACGCCACACAACCAAGAAAATTTTTCGAAATAGAGGCCAGGTTAGGGAAGAATATTTATAAAAGTGTTTCAACTTCTAAACGAAGTAAAAACTCTAAAAATATAAAATTAAAATAAGACCAAAAGAAAAATGCAGAATAGGCCAATAAGAAACACCAAAATATAGCACCATAAAAAACAAATAAATTAACAAAATTAAACCTCCCCTCCCCCAACAAAAAAAATTAATTTTCAAAAGGAAAACTCACAAAACTTTTCCTTTCCAATCAACAAAAATAACATTATCAGCTAAAATACCCAAAGAAAGATGTACACGCTTAGTTTGTGTTAAATTTTGTTGAAAAATATTTTCAGAAAAAGAAATTGTTTGGTACAATTCCTTTCTTTTATTTGGAACCAAAACATCATATTGATGAATATTTTTAGAATAAAATTTTTTATTATTATTTTCTTCTTCAATACTGCTCCGAACAGAATTTGAAGTTGTTGTTATTGTTGAGGAAGAAGTATGGGATAAACGTTGATTGTAAATATTACCTCCATTTGGTTGTTTTTTAGACGTTGAATTTGTAATTGTTTTTTGAATTACAAAATCTCTTCAAAAAATATTTTTAATTAAAAATATTTTTCTTTAAATTAATTACCCCGATAAACGTGACAATTGTTGATATTGATGGGTAGGACTTAATTGAGAATATTGTGAACGATTAAAAGGGGTTGTTTCTTCAGAAGATGAAGCAAGGTTCTGAAAAATATATAAATAGAAAATGTAAAGAAATCTGTATCATAAAAATCCAAATAAACTGTTAGAATATCTCAAAAAAATTTAATAGAAAATAATCTTACTTATGGCCTAATTCTTTTCTTATTTAGCATATCTTCACCTCCCAAACTTTAATTTATATACCCACTTAATAATGATTAAAATCTTTTATATTCTATTAAAATTCACCGTTGGCGTTTTTGGTGGAGAACAAGGAATTGGTGAACTTGGCAATATTGGGGGATTATATGTCGTTTGTTGAGAATTATTATTAACGGAAGTTGACTGTTGTTCTGACAAATCTCCTTTTAATGTATGTTGACGTGGGGGCAATGGAGGAGGGGAACGGTTATCATCAACTTCATTATCAATTGTCTGTTCCTCTCTAATGTCAAGTTGAGGACTAAGAAAAATAAATTTATAAGAAAATAATTAAATGTTTAGTCATCCCACGCAAATTACACAGACCCTATTAGTTCCAAAAATAAAATATAAAAAAACGTAGCTATGCTTCCACAAAAATTTTTTCGGCTAAGGGTCTAATTTCTTCAAGGAAAAAATTGAGGCCATTTAAAAAAATAGAGATCGGACGAAGGGGTCGATCGGTATTTTTTGATAAATATCGAAAAAAATCATATCGATCCGATCTCTAAAAAATTGTTAAAAGAGATTATCTAAAATAATGCTCAAATATTTTATCGACTCTGTTAATATTTGAATTCCCTCCCCATAAACTCCTATTTCCTTATTAAAAAATTTTTTAACCCCCTAAACCTCAAAAATATTTTCTTTTCAAAATTTTAATTTTTAAACAATTAAAATTACTATATACTTGATTAAATTGTGTTTAACAAAAGAATTATTAAAAGGATGTGATTGTTGTCGTTGTAAAGAATTAAAAAAATTATTTCTTTGATTTGCAGGTAAATTACGTCGAAGACTTGCACTTTGCCATTGTGGGGTTGAAATAAATAAATTATTTGATGGAGGTGAAGAATTAAAAGTAATTGGTGTATTTAATGAATATTTGTGAAAATTTGATGTTGAAGCAATTTGCTGGAAAGAAAAATTTTTAAATGGAATAAAAAATAAATTTTAAAAATAAAAATTTTTATTTTTGAATAAAAAATAAAAATTTTTTTTGGAAAACTAATCTTTCCCTTTCTCAAAAATAATTTTTCTAGGTCCTGAAAAGTTAATTTGTGATATAAACAATGGAGTCGGAATTTTTACAATTTTCCCCCTACCCCCCTGGCTACGGTTGGCCCGAAAATTCTTTTAAAGGAACCTTAAAAAATTATAAAACCCATTAAACACAATCCAACCATTTCATCCAAAAATTAAATTCTCAAAAAAATTTCTTAGGATTACCCAATATTTTTTTAATTATTTTAAATTCAATAAAAAATTTATTTACCAAAGGCATTCGATTAGAAGAATTATTTGTAATAATTCTATTAAATATATTTTCATTTTTTGGTTGTTTATTTTCTTCTTCCATTTCATTCATTGCAATATATAAATTCTCTTTACGAGGCACATTACCTCCCCCATTTAATTGTTGATTATTAATATCATCTTCTAATGGCAAAAGACAATTTAAACGACTCAAAGTTTCTGTTATTTTAGTAACCCATTGTCTTCGCTCTTCTCTTAAATTAAAAAAAATTTAAATGAATTTTTAATTAATTTGTGTATTTTTATACGGAGAATTAAAAGGAAAAAGTTAATTCTAGAAATAGAGCTAATTTTTTGAAGGATTATTAAGAATAAATAAATATAAAAATTCCTATATTTTTATATTAATCCACGCAAGCCATCTTATGTATTTAAAAAATAAAATAAAAACGCAGATATGACTCATATAAATTTTTTATCGGGTATTAGATCTATTAGATCTGCTTTAGTCTGTTTTTAACCCCGTAAACTTTAGAAATATTTTTCTAATTTTTAAACAATTAAAATTAATATGTATATACTTGATTAAATCTCGATTAATTTAAAAAATAGAAAAATTACGGTTATCGCCTCTCAAAATTTAAAATGAAACAAAAAGAATAGAAATTCAAGTCCCTATCCCGTTAAAATTCCCCCTTGGGAATAAATTCTGTAAAAGTCAATCTACATATCATCCCCCAGTTCCCAAATTATTAACTAAAAAATCCAAACATTGTAGGGCAATGCAATTCTAATATCGGCCTATTTTTGTCAGTAAATCCAATAACAAAAGTTCTTTCTTCTCCAATCGATACATTTACATATTGACAATCTAATAAGTCTAAAAATTAATTTAAAAATCTTTTAAAAATAAATTTTAAAAAACCTTGTACTTTTATAGGATTATGTTCGCAAACATTTTTAAGGTCTGAATACCATTCTAAATGCGGAATTCCACATATCCCTCCCTCATGAACACAAAGAACTACCCATAACTCATCCTCGTAAATTGTCTTCTAAAAAGGAAATCTTTGAAAATTAAATTTTAGAAAAAAATATCCAGAAATTAACAATCTATTAGAGTATAGACTTTTTAAGTTTGGTCGAAAGAAATGAGGCATAGAAAACTGGAAACAAAAAATAATTTGCAACCTAATTTAAAAATCAGAGAGCTTTTATTGTTAGCAATTTTAACTCTCAAATTATCACAGCGTCCAATCTTAACGAGTTTTTCATGGCAAATACTCTTTCGACCCATTTTCGAAATATTTTTACATTTTTAAAGGTTTTCTTAAATTTTCATTCGTTAAAGAATATTCAAAATAACTTTTAAAAAAATTATAAAACAAAAAAAATTTACCTTTCTTCTCAACAGAATTCCACATTTTCTAACAACTTTTTGTTGTAATTGTCCTTTAAAAATAATTTCTCGTTTTTGGTTTTGAGGGGTTGTCATTTATTTATTTTGTAAAATAAATTGTTAAATTGTTTTATAAATGCATTGAGAAGTTGCTGCCTGAAAAGTAGTAAACTTTTAAAATTAAAAAAAATTCATGGAAAAAGATGAATCATAAAGAGAAAATGATTAATTATATTTATTAGATTGTTTAAGAAATAATATAATTAAAAAATGTTAACTTTATAAAAAACAATTAGGGGTTAAATGTGAGCTAAACAGAAAATCAAGCCTTTGGAAAATAAATAATTGATAATGGACCCGGTACAAAATATCGTAGATCAAAACGTCATTTCAACAAAATATCGTTTCATTCAAGGCAATGCAAAAACTAGCGAGCAACAAAGCGGATGCGACCAAATGCTCGCGTCAATGTGTCCATTCCGGAAGCAACATGGACATTAGAGTCTCATTAGGCTGAGGGGACTCAACTGAACCCGACTGGAAATTCCCTGTTACTGATTTCTAGCGGGACACGCCCGTTTAGGCGCGGGCCGGTTAGGCGCGACCGGTTAGGCGCGACCGATTAGGCGCGCGGCCGGTTAGGCGCCAAGCCTTTTAATTAAATATTGAACGAAATGCTCCTCCAAATCCTGAAAATAGATAGATTCTGATAATCCCGGACAGATGCACCACCCTCACATGAGGCCTCCGCGGAAAAAAGTTTTTGCCGCTGCGGAGGAAGCCGGGCATGTCGAGCGGAACGACGGCCGCCGCTTCGCTACGGTCGCCGCGAGCGAAGCGAGCACGACCGCAGCGAAGCACGGCCATCGTGTAGCGAAGACCATGCCCGGCCTACCCTCCGTAGCAGCACAAAAACAGTTTTTCCAGCGAAGATTCCGTTGGTCATAACTTTGTTCATAATCATCCAACCGAGCTGATTTTGAGTCTGGTACGTAAACTAGTTAGGCCGGTTTTTTAATTTGGGAAATTTTTTTGTAAAATTTTTGTTTTATAATTCATAATTGTCTCATTTGATGGTCGATGGGACCATTCTAATTGATTATAATCGAATATTTAAATAAAAGTCTTGGCGCCTAACCGGCCGGCGCCTAATCGGTCGCGCCTAACCGGCCCGCGCCTAAACGGGCTGTACCCATTTCTAGCGTCTGCCGCTGCTCAGCTGGCAGCGACGGATTTTGAAGCTTTAGACAAAATTTTTATTTTAAACTTCATTTCCCTTTGATTTTTCTTCATTTTTTTATTCATTTATCTTTTAACTTTTTCTTTTTTCTTTTACAGACTTAGTTGATGTCCAAAGAAGTTAACTTAATTGATAACGACTTATTGACAGATAATTCGAGTATCAACAGAAAACGACATTCAAAAACTTCCAATATTCAAGAAGTTTGTTATTAATTAATTTTTTTTTTCTATTTTTCTTTTTTAGCCTGAACACAAAAGAAGTAATTATTTGGATTTTTCTCCACGTTTTGCCTCAGCTTTGAAAATGGACGATAAACATGGTGAAAACCCAAATGGACTTTTAGGTTCAAATATTAATGAAATTGCTGGGAATTCTGCATTAAATGATGGAATTAAATATTCTGTATGTTTTTTATTTTAAAATTTATATTTTGTGATATAAGTTATATTTTAATAAAATATGAGTGATCAGGCTCATTGTTAGGACTTCTTCGGGAAAGGAGGCAAGGTGGTAGAATTTTGATTTCTAATGCCACAAGCGAAAATTTTGAAAATTTTAGAAGGCCGTAGGCCAAAAGAATCCCCCTACCCACTGGCTACGTGATTGATAAATACTAAAACTTTAGAAGATAGAGTTATTCCTTTATTTTGAATTTATTTCGGGAAGCTATTTTTCCTTTTAGTCAGTTTTTAATGACCTTGCTTCCTTTTAATGCTTGATTAGAGAATGCCCCAATTCAAAAATTCCTTTCTTTGTTTGAATGTCATTATGGAAAGCGAGACCTTTTTTAGGAGTTAATTTAAACTCTAATTGTTAACCTTTCAGAATAAGCCAACAAATGGACTCTATAAACAACCTCTCCATTCTACTTCATTAAATGGACCTACAAAGAAAATTGTTATTAGAAAATTTCAACGTAAAATTTTCTTTCAAAATTTTTTTCTTAAATTTATTTATTTTTAGAGAGAAATGACCCAACTGTTTTAAATTTTGATGCAAATTGGTCAATTTTAGAAGATTCTGTTATTAAAATTCAAAAAAGTGAAAGTGCCCATGTTACTTGTGTTGAACTTTACAATGTAATTTTTAAAATATTTTTGATAATTTTCTTTTTATAAAAAGATTGTTGAAAATTTGTGCCAAATGAATTATGCTCAGGAAATTTTTTCTCGTCTTCAAATTCTTATTCACAACTTTTCTGACAATGAATGTGCTCGACTTGTTGAAAAGAGCCAAAATTCTTCTTTTGAAACTTTTTTGGAAATGCTGAATCGTTTATGGGATAATTTCTGCCAGCAATTGGTATTTAATTTATGGACCTATTATTTGATTTTTAGACATTTTTTTGAATTTTCCTTGGTGCAGAAATTTGTAAAAAAAATTTTTAAATTTTTATTCTTAACTCCTGGCTTTTCCAAATTTCTTCATTTTTTTAGAAAAATATTTTTTAAAATAACTTCATTTTTTAAGTCATTGATAAGGAGTGTATTTCTCTACCTTGACCGAACTTATCGTATGCAACAAAGTACCTCTGGCGTTTCAATTTGGTTAATAATTTAATTTAAATATTTTTTTAATTTATTTATAGGGATACTGGCCATGAGGCTTTTCGGCAAAGAGTAATTGAACATTCAGGAAATTGTTCTAGAGCAGTAAATGGAATTTTACAATTAATTGAAAGGGATAGAAGGGGAATTCAAGTATTTTAAATTTATTTTTATTTTAAAATTAAAAAAATTTTTAAAGGTAGACAGACATTTATTAAAATCACTTTTGAGAATGTTTATGAATTTACAAATTTATGACCGTTCTTTTGAAAGAGAATTTTTCAAAGCAACAGAACATTTTTATCGAGAAGAGAGTAGTTTACAAATACAAGAATTAAATGTTTGTTTAAATTTTACAAAAAAAAATATTTTTTCTCATTAGATCAGCAATTATTTACAATTTGCACAGAAAAGACTGATAGAAGAAGAAGAGCGAATTCAACTTTATTTGGAATATTCAACATCTAAAAAATTAATTGGAATTGTGGAAAAATGTTTTATTGCTGATTATTTGGATTCTATAATTTCCAAAGGTTTAATTTTGAATTTTGAGAAAAAAAAATTTTTTTGATTGAAGAATCACAAACAAAACCCATCATTTTTTTAAAAATTTATTTAATTTAAGGTCCATATCAATTAATTTCTGAACAACGGTTAGACGATTTGGCACTTTTATATCAACTTCTATCACGTGTTAAAGACGGCCAAATTGCTTTAAAGAATGCCTTTTCTGAGCATATAAAGGTTTTTTAGATTAAAAAATTTAAGAACAATTTTGTATTTTTTAAAGAAAGTTGGTCGGGCAATGGTTATGGATGCTGAAAGAGACAAAACTTTAGTTCAAGAATTAATGGATTTAAAGGCAAAATTAGACCAAATAATTATAAAATGTTTTTGTTCTAACGAAAAATTTCTTAATGCTTTGAAAGATTCTTTTGACTTTTTTATTAATTCTAGGCCAAATAAAATTGCAGAATTGACAGGTTTTTAAGAGAAAAATATTTTTATTTTTAAAATTTTCAGCCAAATTTATGGACCTCAAATTACGTACAGGAAATAAAGAATGTACAGAAGAAGAATTGGATAGTGTAATGGATAAAGTTATTGTAATATTTCGTTTTGTTCAAGGCAAGGATGTTTTTGAAGCTTTTTACAAAAAAGATTTGGCTAAACGACTTTTGCTGGGAAGAAGTGCTTCTGTTGACGCTGAAAAGGCAATGCTTTCAAAATTGAGAACTGGTTATTTTTTTTAATTACTGGGGTTCCGGTATTCTTGTTATGAGTGAATATTAAAAAAATATAAAATCACTTACTAGAATTTATAAAATTAAACCCACAATTTTTAATTCGTTGTCTTTAATTTCTTTAATACCTAACGAAAAATTATGGGATTATGCTGGCCCGCAGCCTGGAAAAATTTTCGGGGGTAATCCTAGCCTTTGGCTACGGACCTGGGATTATGTAGAAAATTATTATTTTAGTAAAATTTACTAAAACAATTTAAATCTATGTACAGAATGTGGTGCTGGTTTAACTCAAAAATTAGAAGGGATGTTTAAAGATATGGAGTTATCTAAAGATTTTTGTGCTACATTTAAACAGGTTTTTTCTTTAATTATTTTCATTTTTTTTGAAAATTTAAAGTATTTGGAAGCTTCGGATAAAGAAAAACGTTTCTCAAAATTAGAAGTAAATGTAGCTATTTTAACAATGGGAAATTGGCCTACTTATCCTTTACAAGAAGTTAATATCCCTCCTCAATTAGCAGAATTACAACAAATTTGTGCTAAATTTTATACTTCAAAACATAATGGAAGAAAACTTCGATGGCAATATTCGCTAGCTAGTGGAGTTTTAAAAGCTAATTTTAAGCCGAAGGTTTTTTAAATAAAATTATTTATAAAATTATAATAAAATTACTTGATCGATAAGAGTTTATTAAACTAACAATAAGCTATTTATTTGACATCGAGTTGAATTTTGTTCTAACATAATTAGGCACATATTTGGCATTTTATTATATACCTATTGAGGTTTCCCATTCCTCCTTTATTGAAAATATCTAAAAAGATTTCTTAAAAAATTTTAATTATGAGAAATTGAGAGGGAAAATGAGTGCGAACCACTCAACCTTTTAAAAACCAGGCATGGTCATGGATACCGATATGGATACAGATAATATCAAAATGCCTGCGGATATCCGTCTGTATCCGCCGTAAATATGCTGATACGGATACCAAGATCAGTATCCGTGACCATGCCTGTTAAAAACTAGTATACAAAAAACTCTCCAATTTAATTTTTGGAGCTTAAGCGCGGGATCTCCAAAAGGAATAGATATAAATTCTTTAATTATTTTTATTTTATAACACTTTCTAAGGTAACAAAAGAATTGGAAGTCTCTCTTTTTCAATCAATGGTTCTTTTAATGTTTAATGAAAAATTAAAATGGAATTTTAAAGAAATTTCAGAAAATACAAAAATTGGTATAATTAAAAAAATAAATATTAAATTTAATTTAAAAAATTTTTTAGAAGATATTGAATTAAAACGTACTTTACAATCACTTGCTTGTGGAAAGTTTAGAGTATTAATTAAACAACCTAAAGGAAAGGATATAAATTCTGATGGTAATTTTGTTCTAAATGAAGAATTTAATGACAGGCTTTATCGTATTAGAATTTCACAAGTTCAAATGAGAGAAACGGTTTTTTCTAAATTTTCTAAAAAAATTTGAAAAAAATTAATTTTTAAGGAACAAGAACATCAACAAACAGAAGAACAAATATTCCAAGATCGTCTCTACCAAATAGATGCTGCCGTTGTAAGAATTATGAAAACAAGACAAAGATTGTCACATACACAATTAATTACTGAAACTTTAAGTCAGCTACGTTTCTCTGTTAAAGCAACTGATTTGAAGAAAAGAATAGAGTCTTTAATTGGTAAGGAGAGAATTTAAACTTATTTCTAAGGGCAATATTATGTATTTTATGGGGGAAGGGGGTTATGGGATATTAGGTAAGGTGTGAGGACATATCGGGATTGGTGTGACAAAAATAATTTCTTGCGTGTTTACGTTTGTTCTAAAACATAAAAACTCTATTCCTACTATCCAAGACCCAGTGGCCGTAGATCCCGAAGTCAGTAGGGTAACTGTTCGTACATTGAAATATCTCGATATGTCCGTCCCGATATGTCCGTGTGCCATTAGGGAAACCTGCCTTTCTCATAAAAATTTGTGTTAGGAGGACAAATCCGAAAAAGTATTTTTAGAATAATTTTTTCTAAATCATAAAATTCCCTTAAAAAAGAACTTTTCAATTTTTCAGAGCGTGACTACTTGAGTAGAGATAAGGAAGATGCAAGTTTATACAATTATGTGGCTTAACCGGTGAAAAAGGTTGTAAACAGTAAATGACAAATTTGCTCATTTTATTGGCAAAATTTAAAGTGTGAATCATATAAAATTTTATTATTTTTATTTGGCTTGTATTTCCTTGTATTTTTCCTTTAAAATTAAAATTTTGAAAAAAAAATTTTTCTTGCCCAGATTTTTACTAAATTTAATAAATGTTACCACTTCTATTTATTTACACACGATACATACAATTTTTTGATGCACATTTAATTAGAAAAATGTTTCGATATTTTAATCGCAGCAGCCCGCGAGGCAACAAGCGCAACAACAAGCCAACATCGCCAATAAACAACAACTTCCTCCTCCTGGGGCTGAAACACTGTGCCGGTCCCTCTCAACTACACTGTCGAAGGAATGTTATTTTTAATGTTAAATTTAAAATCGAATCTATGTACTTACATTACTTGAGGCTGTGGTGGCGGGTATCCATTATAAGATTGCGGTGCGTATTGTAGTTGTGGTTGCTGCATCCCTGGATTATAGCTAGCATATTCCGGTTGTTGTGGGTAGTTGGGGTGTGGTGGAGGTGGGTATTGTGGAGGATATTGTGGGTATCCGTTATATTGAGGCGGTGCGGACATTGACTGGCGTAACTTAATTCGAAGTTCTTTTATTGATGAAACAATGTTATTAAATGTGCTTTAGTACATTGTTCGTCAGCATTATTCTAACTTGTCTTAGCTAGCGCCTGTTTGTAACTAAGCAACGTCAACATGTTCTCACAATCAAGAAACGTCATACATTGCGTTGCGGAGTTAGCTTATAAAACATCTTTACCTTTTTAATTGAGTAGGTTGAGGAATGGCCTAATTAAAGTGATTAAATCCTTACAAGATTCAATACCAACAAATATATCAGATTAAATTTATTTCCTATATAAGCAATAATATAATAATAGGCAGAAAGCGAAATGCCCGAGATTATCGAAAAAAGCACAAAGTCAAAAAATCGAAAAATTAGAAACACGGCCATCACCAAAAACACAAAACAATATCTTCGATCCTATACAAATCACAATTCGAAAATCTAACATTTTAAGTGAGTAAATTAAACAATCAAAAAATATTTTGAAAGAATTCTTATAATTAGCTACAAAAAAAAGGAATTAGAGATAAGAAAACAAGTTGGGCAGATAAGAATGGGAACACTAATGAAAAATTTGGACTATAAGATAAGCCATACCCAAAGCCTGGATTACATTGACAGTCATTTTATTTTTCTGTATTTTTTCCGAACTTGTTCATGTTTGAGCTGTGAAAAAAGCATGTTTTCTTTTCGAATTGAGAAATTTATGCCTCTATACTATTAGCTCGTAAATTTCAAAAGCCAAAAAATTATTTATCAAAAATTCCCATTCTTTAAATTAAAAATAATATCATTTGTAAATATATGTAGTTTATAAAGGACGGATATTTTTATAATTACAAACGGCCACATAGCATCAATTCAGTATTTTGAGCACCGGTGTTCCAAACATAATATATAGCAAGTAAATGTTTTTAGCAGTGAAATCCAAAATTAAAGGTGGCTTTAATAAGGCGATTTTTTAAAAGTAAAAAATATAGAAGTAGATAAGCAAAATATTTTTTGATGATATTCATCTTCCACTAAAAGGAATTTTTGGTCGTTGCCTTAAAAATATTAAACGTTTTTGCTTTCAAAATATTTAGTAAAATTATTCTCACCAATATTGTTCAGCAATCACAAACCCGTCAATTGTTGCGGAAAGATGTTTTGTTGGAATCTTTCCAAAGGATTTTGCACCCGAATCTTTAATTAATTTTTTAATTAAATTTTATTTAAATAATATAATTTTTACCATATTTATACATAATTGTCATCATTGGCTCTCGACAGACTTTTGGACCTGAACCCTCTGAAAAAGTGAATATTTCAAATAAAAATGTTTTTTATCAAATTTTACCAATTTTGTGAACAGCCTCGGAAAATTGATCCCATGTATATAAACCTCGATATTGTAGTCTATGGTCGCGAAATAGAACAAGAAAGTGTTTAGAGTCACTTGAAGCTATGGCATTTTGTACCTTTAAATATAAGAAATTTAAACAATTTTTTCATTTTCTACCTTTTGTCTACTTTCATTGGATACATGACCAGGGAAAATACTATATTGCAATGCATTAAGTATAAGAGTTCGATTAGATTTTGGTTGTTGTCGAGCATATAATTTTAATGAAGGTTCGCCCAAAACAGATGCCGGCACATTACTACGAGAGCCTGAAATCCCTGCATTTTCGTCATTATCACCACCATTATTAACGCTACTTTGTGCTCTAAATGGTCGTTGAAGTGTACGTGTTTGGTTTATATTAAGCTAAAAAATAGAAATAAATAAATCAAAATAAAAACTTTTTTTACATTAGTTTGACTTTTTGGACGTCTAAACGGAGGTTGACTTTGTCCACGATTATTTAATGACATTGTTGATGAGCTACACATTCGTGCTGAACCACCAGGTTGTTCACCTAATTCTTGTTCCAATTTCTTACGTTTATAGTCTTCCAGGCATTTTAGACTTGAAAATAAATTTTTCAAGATTATTTCCTCTAAAGATTTCCTTACCGTCTCTGCTCCCTTTCTATTCTTCTCTGTTCAGCCAATTCCAATTTTTGCATTTCGGATTGTCGTTTTTCTAAAGAAGCAAGTTCCTTTTCTTCACTTTTTGCTACAATCCTTTCCTTTCGTTTTAATTGACTTGTAAGCAACGCTTGACGTTTTGCAAGCATTTCTGGAGTCTTAAAAATTAATTTTAAGATAAATTCTGAAATTAATACTAAAGTAACCATTTCTGTACTATCCGAGTCTGAAACGTCCAAAGATATGTTTATATTTTGATTCACAGTCCTTTCATCACTACTCAATGTAGAAGCTCCATTACTACCATTTTTAGGGGTAGAGGAAGAATCTTTAAATTTAATTAAATAAAAAATATTTTTTAAACTTTTCCAACCATTTTGATCTTTTCCTTGTGAAGCTAATGCTGTTGCTGATCTAGAACCATGCAAAGTTGCATTTAATGCTGCCACAGGGTTATTTGCAATAATTCTTTGTTGCATTTCAACTTTTTTAGAGGCCCAAGTTTTGCGTTGTGGCTTTTCTGTAAAACGATATGTTTTGCCCCAATTGGCTAGTTCTTGTCTTAAATCGTTTTCTGGGTCAGGTTCGATGTCAGCATCTTGCATCTAACAAAAAAATTTTCTTTTAAATTTTTATGAAAATTAGAAGGCATTTCATTTCAAATTTTCTATTCAAAAAAACTTTCATACATTAGCTTGCTGCAATCGAAATGGAATATTATTTTGTTCAATTGATTTCTGTTGATTTGAGTTGCATTGTTGCATTTGTTGTTGATAATTTTGCAAATGAGTAAGAGAAAATGGATCAGCAGAAACAGGAAATACAGTGCTACCTCCAGGATGATTGAAAGGCAATGAAGGAATTGGTGTGTATTGCTGTTGTGGCATTATTTGATTATTATAAGGCTGATTCTATCAAGTAAAAGATAAGGTTATAAATATTTTTGTTTTAACGAACTTGTTGATTTTGATATTGAAAAGATGGTTTTTGTCCAAATTGACTATGAATGGAATGAGACAATTGTGGCATTTGATTTTGTTGATGTAGCAAATGTAAATGAGAAGGTTGAGATAAAGATTGTTGTAATTGTCCTCCTCCACCCATATATTCAATATTTTGGTTTTGATTATAAGATGTTGGCGTATAATAAACAGAAGGTTGTTGTTGTTGTCCACAATATCCAGAATTAAAGGTTTGCATTGGTGTTGAATATAAATTGCTGGAATTTGTAGAAGAAATATAATTTGACTGTGGGCAGGCAGAAGGGAAATGTTGTTGCTGGAACAAATGCTAAATAATTTAAAAATATATAACAGGAATTTATATTAAATTTTCATTTACAATTTCTTAAAGTAGTAAAAGTTATCAAAATAATTATTACAAAAAATTATAAATGATTCTTGAACTGTTCTACGAAAAAAATTTTCCTTAACAAACCTGTTGTTCAGGAAAAAGTTGTGGATTAACATTCCCTTGCATATGTTGCATTGTTTGCGGCATTTGTTGCCCTTGAATATTTTGCTGAAGCATTGAAGTATTTGGCTGTTCAGCAAAAGAATAATCTGAATAAATAATTGAATCTGGTGGTGGAGGTCCAATAGGAGATATATCTTGTTGTTGTAAAGAAGCAAATTGTTTATTGGCAAAATTTTGTTGTGGTGTACTTTGAAAAGTCGGAAATGCATTCACACCTAATAATTATTTAAATTAATTATTTTAATTAATAAAATACCAAAAACATTTGCTTGTTGTCTTGGAGGTTGTTGTGAAAATTGTAAAGGAAATTGTTGCCGTTGACCAGGAGGAGAGGAAAATTTTAAATTGTTGTTGAATTGATTCTGAAAGAAGAAAATGAGCTAAAACTAACAAAAAACAAAAAAAAACCGATAATTGATCAACCAATGTATTATGACTGCCCAAGTTAAATTGTGGTTGTGATTGCATTAAAACACTCGATGGACGAGGAGTTTGGTCTTCATCTTTTGAAGGGCGATTTAGTGTATTCTGGAAAATGTAAAAAATTTGAAATTAAACTGACTTAATTATATCTAAATTATCAAAAAAACTCACAGCTCTCAGAAATCCTTGAAATTGACCAAAATTTTGTTGGTGATATTCAGGCAGTTGACTTCGCCAGGGTTCCAATTGCGGATTAAATCCTCTATCTTGATTTGAGACGGGAAAACGATGTAGGGTGGAACTTCCGCCTGTAGAGGACTGAAAATGAAATATCATTTAATATTGAATAATTTTGAGTTTTAATTTCCGTATCAATGTAAAAACATACGAGACATACCTGAAAAGGAAAATTCTGCTCGAGCCTTGTTTGACGGGGCGAAGCAATAGACATATTTCTTGTTCTTGGTAATGAACCAGTACCAGGAAAGAACACATCATCCGTTGCAGCAGAAAAGGCTCTATTTCTTCTTTTGTCATTGTTTACGTCCCGAGCACTTTGTATCTTTTCTATCATTCCTGCATCGGCTTGTTGATCAGGAAGTGGCTGTGTTCGAAGAAAATTGCGCTGAACAGTTTGTTGGATTGGTACAATCTCTTTAAGAATTTGTTTAAAAAAAATAAAATATAAAACTACCCGAATCCACCACTTGTTGACCTTCAAAAAACATAAATAAATCAGCTAGAAAGGCATTTACATTCGGCTGCAATGACTCGTGTAAAAACAGAATATCATCAATTCGAAAATGAAAAGGATTCCAAGGCAAATTTGTTGCACAAAAATTTCTAACAAATATTTTTTAATTAATAAAAATTAAAAAAAGGAAACCTCAACAATTCTAAATTAAACTTGCAATCATTTACACTCATTGGATCTTTGAAACAAACTTCTATAAAAATATTTTATTTAAAATTTATTAGTGCCTCAAAAAACCTTTTAAAGGCAATTCATCAGGTCGATAGAAAGATACTAACGTACAGATACAAGTTCCATCACAAAGGTCTTCATAAAGATCTTCCATCTCCGGAATTGTTGTCTCATTAATTGAAGGTTCGTCACTTTCATTTCTTCCATTGGTTAAAGCAACACAATTACGTTCAACATCATCACGAACGATGGAACAAACCTTAAAATTTATTGAATTCTTAAACAAAATTTAACCAAAAACCTTATTAATCCAAAATAACAAAGCATCAACACAATCCAATGGTTCTTCTCTTTTCTCAATTACAGCATAATTTCTAATTTGAAAATTTAAAATTTTAATTGATAAAAACATACGATATTGCTTGAACTACTCTATCGATTGAGATAATTGAACGAAGATGAGCTACCATCAAAGAGTCAATAAATACAAGATGAGAATTCTTAAAAATAGATAAAATATTATGTAAAAAGCAGATATTAAACGCATTTGCTCACAAGACTAACAGACAAGTTTTAAAAAAAATTTTCGTTCACAAAAATTCGCAAAATACAGCTCGAACTTAAATTAAAGCACTTACCGTATTGAATGGTGATTGACTTCTCAGCAATTCTATCGTAACAGATTGCCCATCCTTGTCCTTAACATCAATTCCTGCTTGCGTCAAAGCATGGAAAAGAAGACCAAGATCTCCCTAAAATATAAAATTAAACAGAAAAAAAAAAGAAAAACAAACATTCAAAAAAGAAGGATCATGGAATATTTTCGCCGCTGCTTGACCATAAAAAGATCCATTAGTTAAACAAAAAATGACTGGTTGTGCTAATTCAATTCGATCCTAAATTTGATTTAAAAAATGAAAATTTATAAAAAAAACAAACCTCGCTATTCAATCTAAAAGGTTCAGAAAGAGAATCCGGCAATTGATTTTGATCATTATAAATACGAGTAATTAGCCATCTTATTGAAGCTTGAAGTCTTGCCTGAATAAAAAAAGTTACAAACAAGAATCAAAAAAAAAATAAAATACATCTTCAAAGTTATAATTGCTTGTTGACATAGCTTTATCGCTGTTAATGTTATTTGTATTTTCAGCCATGTTTGTTTTTGTCCTTTTCTACGGAAAATTTTTATTGTGTTTTTGCAGTCAGTATTTTTCTGGTAGTAGTTCAGAATTGCTCAGCGGGGCGTCTAAAATAATTTGCTGCGCCGAGCGTAAGAAAGATAATAATGTGGCTATAAATGTGGTTTTTAAGAAGGTGCAAAAACTTTAAAAAAATAAAGATTTAAATTTAAAAATAAAAACAAAATAAGAAAAAAATTTTAATTTCCGATTTTTGTCTTTTACACAAGAATTTTGTATTTAATAAGGAAGAAAGTAACAATCTTCAACTTTAATCTAAGGTGAATAGTGTATAGATTGCGATATTAGATAGTAAATTCTTGTACAGGATTAAAAGACTAAAAATTTAATAAAAATTCACCCTTTTCTGCAGCTGACAGAAATTATGATTATTCGAGAATTATAGAAAGTAAATCAAAAACAGGAAAAACCAGTTAATTTTTTAAAATTCCCGATGAAATTTTCTCACCTAAACGGTAATAGATAAAACAAAGTTTGTCAATCGTAAAATTTTCAACGAGTTAACAATTTAAAGTTACCAATTTGATATATTTTTTGTCTTCAAATTTTAAATTGTCTTTTCAATTAACCAAATATTACTTGGGTAAATATGTTTTTTTATTTTTGTGAATTTAGGGGATTGGCCTATGATATGTATCTAAAAACTTTAATGAATTTATTTTATTCTAGAATCGCAAATTATTTTAATAATTTTTTTTATTAAAATATAGAAAACGTAATGATCTGAATTTGCTATCTTTTCATATTTCTCTATTTTATTTTAAAATTTTTATTTTTGAAATAATTATGTTTTAAAACTCAAATGGAAGAAGAAGGTCATCTTGAATTGCCCATAAACTCGGAGGATTCTTCAATTAAAGAGGATGATGAGCTACGTATGTTTCGGGGTGCACTAACTTTGGGAAATTTAATAGATGCTCTTGAGGCTTACGATGGATCTCCTGTTATTTGCGTATGATTTTTAATATTTAAAAAATTAGTTGATTTTAGTTGCATTCTGGTTTAAATCGTCAGCTATTTATATATACAAGACCAATCTTAACTATTGCACGAGAAAACAACGAGTGGGTCTTAGACCCTCCTTTTGATCATCCACTTAGAAATGTTCAAATTGATGAGGCTGTCGCGAGTTGTGAAGCTGCGGAACGAACACGAGTCGACAATAAAAGGTTGGTGCTTATACGCAGAGGACAGGCAGCACAAGCGGATCGCCTGCGCCCGAAGGTAGCTGCACATGTCGGACTCAGTATCTACTTTACAGTTAGTTTTTTTGATTAATTTTTTGAAAAGTTCTAAAAAATTTTACTTTAGGCTTATTTTGCTAGCTGTCGTGATTTATTCGTACAAGTTTGTTTGAAATTTCTAATTTAAAAATTTTATAAAAATTTTTGTTCAGTGGCGCCCAGATTCTACTGAAAATCAGAATGGACGTCATGACGCCTAAAAAAATTTCTTAATGATACTATTCATTAAATGTTTTAATTTATCTTTCAATAAATTTTTTCTTTTAAAAAATCTTTGAAATTGATTTATTTTCATTAATTATTTTTAATTGTTTTAATGGTATTTTTTAGGTATTTTTATTTTACTGTTTCATGAGCACTAGGAGACTAAATTGTAGAAAATTTTTTTTCTTTTTTCAATATTTAGGATTAAATAATGAATATTGCGATTAAGTCTCGCTTTTTTCCACTCTCCAGTAATATACAAATTTTGGCATCTTTAGTTAGAAACTCTTCAACAACAACTAACGATAAAAAATATTCTCTTGAGAATATTCCTAGAGAGACTGGTGGACGGAATAGTTTTACGGGCAGTGTTGTTTCAGGTTTTTTTTTTGAATTTTCTAAAATTGTAAAAATTCCTTTATTATTTCTCACACCCGGTTTTACTGGTCTTACAAGGAGCCTCCAAATCCTTCAATTTAACTCAATTTAAAGGCAACACATATTTCTTTTCCTTCTAGACTCCATTAAAAGAAACATTTAAGAGGATAGATATGTGATAGATAGGATAGTTAATAACTTTTTTTACAAATGTTTTAATTTTTATTAAAATATCAAAAACATTTTCAATAATGATCTGAATTTTCGATCTCTTAATATTTTTATATTTTGTTTTAAAATTTTTATTTTTAAGAAAAGTATATTTTAAATTCTGAAACAGGAGAAGGTCATTCTGATTTACTCACAAATTCGGAGGATTCTTCAACTAAAGGAAATGAGGAGCTACGCATGTTTCGTGGTCCACTAACTTTGGGAAATTTAATAGATGCTCTTGAGGCTTACGAAGGATCTCCTGTTATTTCTGTGAGATTTTTGATATTTAAAAAATTTACAATTTATTTTAGTTGCATTCTGGGTTTTTGCGTAACCTTTATATATTTATATAAGACCAATCGAAACTGTTACACGGCAAAACAATGAATGGGTTTTACAACCACCTTTTCAACATCCACTTAGAAATTTTAAAATTGATATCGCTGTGTTAATACGTGAAGGAGAGGAACGAGCACGATTCGATGATAAAAGACTGCTGTGTGTACGCTATGGGCAGCCAGAACCAGATCGCCGTAGCATGAGGAAAGCAGCACGCAACGAACAGAAAATCTACTTTACAGTTAGTTGTATATATTGTAAAAATGATTAATTTTTTTGATTACATTTTTGAAATTTTAAAAATTTTACTTTAGGCTTTGTTTGCTAGTGGTCGTGATTTCTTCGTACAAGTTTGTTTAATTCGAATTTAGAAAATTTTTTAATAAATTTTATTTCAGTGGCACCCAGATAAACTTGAAAAACCAAGATGGCTCTACCTGAAAACCCAAGACCTAGATGATGTTTAAATGTTTTAATTTATTTTTTAATAAATTTTTCTTTTTTTAAAAATCTTTGAAATGATTTATTTTCATTAATTATTTTTATTGGTTTTAATGATATTTTTAACTAGGTTTTTTACTGTCATTTTGTAGAAATTTGTAGAAATTAATTGTAGAAAAGATTTTCTTTTTTTAATATTTAGGATAAAATAATGAATATTGCAATAAAGTCCCGCTTTTTTCCACTCTCCAGTAATTTGCAGATTTTGGCATCTTCAGTTAGAAATTCTTCAACAACTTCTAACGATAAAAAATATTCTCTTGAGAATATTCCAGAGCCAGTAATTAGTTCTTTAAATACAGCACAATTTCGTAGAGGAACTGGTGGACGTAATAGTTTCACGGGCAATGTTGTTTCAGGTTTTTTTTTTGAATTTTTAAAAATCTTAAGAATTCTTTTTAGTATTTGGCGCTTCTGGTTTTACCGGCCTCAGTGTTATTAATCGTTTAGCCAAACAAGGAAATCAAATTATTATTCCCTATCGTTGTGATGCTTTCTTTGTTAAAGAATTGAAGGTTTCTTGTGAGCTTGGACAAATTCTTTTCTTTCCCTTCCAACCAACTGATGAAGATAGCATTCGAAAAGCAGTTAAATACAGCAATGTTGTTGTTAATTTAATTGGTGCTTATATTAACACACCGTATGGATTTTTAAAATTTTTTTAAAACTTCTTTTTCAGTAATTTCACAATGCACGATAGTAATGTAGAGGTGCCTCGTAAAATTGCTAGAATTTGTCGTGAAATGGGTGTTGAACGTTTAGTGCATGTCAGTGCTATGGGAGCTGATCCTGAGCATGAATCTAAATATCTTAAAAATGTATGTATTATGTTTATATATGGAAAATAGGTCTGCAAAAAACGGAAACCGCCACAGTACTAAGTCGAAGGTCCTCTATCGAATGGAATAAAAAAATTTTTCAAATTCGCAGACAGTAAACGATGTTCCCTTGTAAGCTATAGAGTTCAACTATCGTGAAATCCAAAATCGAAAAGTTTAGGAGGAAAATGAAATTATATTTTTCAATAAAAATTCAAAAATTTTTTTTTAATTTTACAAATTACTATTTTTAGGGACAATTTCTTCGTACTAAAGGTTTGGGAGAACTGGCTGTTCGTGATGAATTTCCAAATGCTACAATTGTTCGTCCTTCAGTTCTTTACGGAGAATGTGACTATTTTCTTCAATTTATGACTACTCATTTGCGTCGATGTCCAGTACTTGGATGGGTTTATATTTATAAAGGAGGACGTGGAATTTACAAAATGCCTGTTTATGTTTGTTGTTTTTTTGTTAAAATAATTTAATAATTAATTTTAAATAAAGGTTAGTTAATTTTTTAGTACAGTCAGTATTTATGGGGAAGTTAAAAAATTATTCTTGTTTTTGATAAAGGTTTTTATTTATGGAATTAATTTTTTCGACCCTTGGTTCCTTTTTTCGGTTTTTTGAAGGATATAGGATTTCGCCAACTTTGAAATTATTTTTATTTTTTAAATTTAAAATTTCAGGTAAATGATTTTGGACTTGGAATTTCTCGAATAGTAAATGACCCTTCTTTTGCTGGAAAGGATTTTGAATTTGTTGGTCCACATTGTTATGAATTTTGTGAAATTGTAACAAAAATTAAATAATTTAATATACATTTTTAATTTTTTTAGGCAGATTATATTTATAAAAAGGCTGGCTGCTTTAAGGAAATTATGTTTAGATATCATCGTTTTTCACGTCCAGACCCTTGGTTCCTTCTTTGGTCAGCACTTTGTTGGATTAATACAAAAGTGTATAGAGGTGGAGGTTCTTATATTGATTGGGAATGGCTTGATTTTGTGGTAAAAAATTTTTTTTGAATTTTATAAAATGGAAAAATGATTTTAATTAATTTTTCTAAAAGTTATAAGAACGAAATTTAATTATTTTTTGTGTTTAGAAATAAATTGTGAAAAAGGTGGGACAAAGATTAAGGACCATAACATTGCCCAACCTTTTTATAACAAAAAATTCTTTTTTTCAATTTTTTAAAGGAAGCAGCAAGTGATGTATTAACTGGCGGGAAGACACTTGGATTTGCTGACTTAGGGATTAAGCCTCATCTTTTTGAGGATATGGCTGCATATTTTTGTCGTATACGTTCATTTTCTGGGTTTGAAGATATTTTTCCTTATAAAAAATAATTTTTCTTTTAAAGATCTGTTGATTTGGCATATGATGAAATGCCGAATGTTGCATTACCTCTTCGAAGTCCAATACTTTACAAACGACCGCCAAAATTATTTGACCCTTCAAATATTCAGACGGAGGAACGAATTTTTGGTCGAAAGGTAGCGGCAACAGGATGAGAGAAAGTGAATTTAAAAAGAGAAAAATAGAAATTTGTTTTAATTAGGAAATTGTGAATATAAAGACAAGATTGAAAATAATAATATATGACAAAAATTAGTTTTCTAGACTGTTTCTTTAAGAATATAAGAATCTTATTCCTTACCACCTCTGACAATTTTAAGGATATAAAAAGTTTGGATTAGAGACCGAATTTTAAAGTTGATAAGATTCGAGAATACTTTGACCTTTGAACAGGATCTCCTCTCGGTCCGATCTCTAGTTCAGATAAGCTTTCTTCATCTAACAGAGCGAACTTTAAAATTTTTGTTAGATGAAGCAAAACTGGAGCGAAGTCCAAAATTATGCGGGTTAAAAAGTTTATATTTTCGATCTTGTATCAATTACATATTCTGTCAGATTATTTTCTTTATTATGTGAATGTAATATGCTTTTTTGTTTTGTAAATATTTTAAAAGGAATTTTACAACATTAAAGTGGTAGAAAGGGGTGGGAAATACTTTTTATAAACTTTCTTCTAGTTAAATCCTTCAATCACCCTTTATTTTAATTTTTCCTATAGACAAAATTCCATTAGAATTCTTTGTTTCCTTCAAATTAAAAAAAATAATTTTAAGATTTATAGGATATCTTAACCGAAAAATGTTTTTTGATATTCTCCAGCCGAAAATATTCTTTATATTTTTGTTTTTCTATTTCCAATTTTTAAATTTCGTAAATGGAATTTTGGCAGGGGAGGAAATTGACTGGAATAGGTTAATTAAAAATTAGGGATATATACTATTTTTGAATTTATTTTTAAGGAATGGATTTGTTGTAAAGGTATTCAAAAAATATTTTGAGAAATTTAAATACCAAATTAAATATAAAAAATGTAGGTTCTTGCCAGAGAAGGACCTAATGCGCCTACAAAAAGTTGCACAGGCTCTTTAATTGTAAATTAAACATTCAAAATAATTTTTAATGTTTATTTTATAGTCAGCTTCATTAGTTTTAACAAGTGGTGATTGTGTTGTTGATCGTTCAACTAAGGAAAGGTAAAAACGGAGGGTCATTCCATGTGCCTCTGTTTTGAAAATTTGAAAGCTTCCCTTTTTTGTTATAAAATATTTTCTATAGTTTGAATGAATTTGTGGTTTTTGTTTCAAAACCATCTGACAAAGAACTTCGTTCAACTGGCAAACTATTAGAGAGAAATGAACAAAATGGCTGGGCTTTGTTACGAATTGCCCCACAAAACATTACTGAAGTTAATTAAACTCTAAAAATAATTTTTGAAAATTTCCAAAGCTTTGCCCACCTAGCCCAGCCCCCAAATGGGTAGCTCGTCTTAATTTTCGTCCTTTGCTGACATCCGGTCCTCGACTCGAAGTAAGTCAAGCTGACTTAAGTAGCGGAGAGGGAGCTGTATGTTTTTTTGTTGGATTTACTACAACAGAGAAAGGCAAAAGTTTACAAATATTTTAAAATTTTATTTTTTAGCTGAAGATTTTTTGAACGAAAATCGTCTTCTTCGTATTTACCTCGATAAGTTAGAAAAACCACCAAAAGATGATGGCTTGAATCAATACAGAAGTGATGTATATAGTGGATTTACTGCTTGTTATGTAAGCTTATATTTAGGGGGGAATTTCCTGAAGAGAGATATAAGCAGTGTTTATAAGCTCGTAACAAAATTCGTACTCGTCCTCGTACTTCGTACAAAATACGAGTATGAGCAAAAAATAGGCCAAGAATAGGCCGGTACGAAGTAGAGTACGAGGCTAAAATTAGGGATGGTATGAAGTACGAGTACGAGCAAATCTGAAATTTATAAACACTGGATATAAGCTTTAGAGATATATGTTTTCCTCGAATAGAGATAAATATTTCACGGAAGGAGAACCTTCATAAATACCTTTTTGCCTTTCTCCACCTACCAGTCTATCCACACAGAATATAAGCAAAAATTAAATTTATTAGGATGATACAGGGGCCCCATTACTCTGCAAACTTTCCAAATATCAAGATCCAGCTCTTCAACTAGGAATCTTCCAATCTTTAACAGTTCCGGGTGGAAAAGCTGCAAAGGATGATGAACAGAATGACAAAAGTAGAAAATTTCTTTAAATTTGTCAAAAATATTTTTTAAAGGCAACAAAACAATTGACGAATTAAATAAATGCAAAAAGGCAACACAAATGCGTTTCAATTTATTTAATGCAGATGAATCACTTGCTAAAGCTATTGAGAAATATGCTCTTACTGAATTTGTAAGTGTATATCATGAATGTGGATTTTAATAAAGGAAAAGAAAAATCAGAATTATTTTTTTTTCAAAAATATTTCAGAATTATTTCAGAAATTCAGAAAATTCTTTTTAAATTTATTTATTGCTAGCAAAAAATACATAAAACAAAATACAAATATTTAAATGTTTAATAAAAAATATATTTTCAATAAAATGTTTTTTGGTCTCTTTTCTTAGCCAAATTTACAAAAAGAAAACAAATTTTGGAGAACAAAAATTTTAAAAATATTTTAAACAAAATGGAATATTTTTTGGATTTAAGTCAAAAGAATTTAACGTAAAATTGGATTTTATTTAATTCTATATTAAAAAACTAACAAAATCAGTGCCCATAATTTATGAATCTTTCTTTTAAATTTAAACAAAAATTCCATTTAAAAATCCCTCCCTATTTTTTAACCCAAATTCCATCAAAATTTCATGATTTTTAACAAATTTCTAAAAATAATGAATGCGACATTTGTTGAAAAATAAGGTAGAATGGCTGGAAAAGAATTAAACATAAAAAGGTATGTGACAAGAAAAATTGCTGGGATATATTTCTTTCACATACAAAATATTATTTATATTTAAATATATTTATTTTATTTAAAGAGTGAAAAGAAAATTTTTTTTTGTAAAATCTAAATGCCAAAAAATTCTAAAATTTATTTTTTAATGTCACTCTTTAAAATAAATATAAAAAATAATTAAAATAATGAGAGAATTCAATTGCTTGTACAATAAAAAAATTTTTTTTTAAATCCTTGTTGTCGATCATATTTTTAAATAAAATAATGCCCTCAACACCCGTGAGTATGTCTAACCAAATATTTTAAAAACTAAAAAGGTCGACTTGGGATTTGAGGTCGTTCTGGAATGCGTGGTCTATCCATGTTATTTGTATGTCTGGAAAAAAAGAAGAAAATTATTTTTCGAATATTTTTCAAGACAAAATTTATCTTAATGATTTTCTAAAACACTCAACCAAACACCAACGACAAAAAATTTTAGACACAAAAAAGGACAGCACTCACAAGTCCCCTACCTCTCTTTCAAAGATGGGGGCCACTGTGACTTGGCCGCCTTTAAAATTATTTTTAGAATTCCTCTCAAATTAAAAAAAATGAATAAAAAAAGAAAAACTTACATTGGAGGCATTGGCGCTTGTCCAGGAGGTCCAGGGAGTGGTCGATTTTGAATAGGCATTGGTGGACCTCCAACAACACCCGGTCCTCCAACAACACCCATCGGTCGAGCTACACCCATTGGAGGCATTGGAGCCGGTCGATTAGCTGGGATTTGATTTCCTGGAGGTGCAGGTGCTGGGCGGGGGACTGGAGAAGAATTGTTCCTAAAAATTATGATTTTTTTAAAAATTCTTTCCATAAAAACAACAAACCGCCAATCATTCATAACTGGTGGTGGCATATCAGTAGACATTGTGGTCATATTAACATCATTAATGATTCGAAGTGCCTCTTTACAAGAATGATACATTCGAAGAATTTCTTCTCGTTTTTGTGCTTCTATTGGAGATTCCTCCATTAATTGATCCTAAAAATATTTTTTAGTTATTAATTAATCACTCAAAAAAATTAAAAAAAAATAACCGTGTCCCCTCCATGTTGGTAAAGCCCAGCAAGTAATTCATCGCGCAAAAAATCTGACATCTACAAAAAATTATACTTAAAAAAATAAAATTAAATAATTTACTCTATTCACTATAAGATGCATTATTGCTTTCGGCACCAAATCACCTTCAAAAATATTTTCAAAATTAAATTTAAAAAAATAAAAATCATTACGAATTGTTTTCGTAATAATTCGCATATAAGAGTCAACCAAATTACGAATTGTTTCCACTTGGCGTTCTAATGCTGGGTCCATACTGCTTGCAGATTCTACAGTGTCTCCATTCTAAAAACCTTTTTTTATTTAAATTTATATAAGATTATTGAGAAAAAAACACCAAGACAAAGGACAAAACATAAATTCAAAAAACCTTTGACAATTTACAAAGTTAAAATGTTAAAAGGAGAGCTGACCTCTTGCTTAAACGAGAAAATATTTTTAATTTTATTAAAAATTTATACAGCTGTAAGGGATCCGGATCCGAAGAAATTAATGTTAAAAATATCAAATTAACCCAAAAACCCTCCAACAAATAAGTATCTAAATGACCTTCTAGCCCGAATCCCGAATTAAAATTAAAAAACAACAAACTTCGTCACTAATTGGTTGATGATCCTTCTCTGGATAAACACCAGCTCTCAAAAACGATGCTTTCCAAGCTTCAACATCATCCAAGTTTTTGGCACTCAATTCCAATTCTTTGTAGTCTTTGTAGATGTTTCTAAATGAGAAAGAATTTAATTGAATAATAACATAAAAAAAGAGGAAAGCAAAAAGGCAAACAAAGAAAAATGTGCAAAAAGAAATTGATAAGGTTAATCAGAATAAACAAAGAGGGTGTGATTTGGTAATAGCATTTAAATTTGGAGAAGGGCGTAGCCAGGGAGTCGATTTCGGGGGGAGAGGGGGGTCTCAATCCCCTCCTCAAATTTTTCCCTTTTCCCCATTTCGGGGGGGGGGGGCTTTAGTTTTTGCTTTAGTTTTTCTTTTTTTACTTTTGCTTTAGCTTATTGTTAGAAACCCCCTGGCTACGCCCTTGAATTTGGGGGATAATAAACAATAATATGAAAGAAACAAATAAATACTGACAAGAAAAAATTAGTCAGTCATCAATTTAAAAATAACTTGAGGCAAGTAGTTGGTCGATTCTTACACTATAACAAAATTACAGACACTTATCAACTCAAAAGACAAAAAAACACAAACAAAAAAACGTTAAAAGTTAGTGTGCAAATTAACATAAAGTACAAATAAGGACAACGTTTGGACATCAAAAAATCTATACATACGGTTAATTGTTGTGAAAAAATTAATTTGTAAGTAATTTTGCCCGTTCTCACCTCCTGCAAAAAGCAAAAATAGAAAAAAATGAAAATAATTGTTATATTTTTAGTAAGCCTATTATGATAATTGTTAGGAAAAATAGAATTTATTTGCATTTCCCAAGCGGCAAAATGGATTTAAAAAAACTCAAAAAATCCAATCAAATATGTATTAGAAGAGCCATTTTTGCAAATATTAATTTTTTTAAAAAGTCACTCACGCACTAAAATTGCAAAAAAAAATATTTTTTTGCTAGCAATTTAAATAAAAAACAAAAAAATTTTTTTAAAAAACATACTTTCCGTCGGGGTAGAACAACGCAAATTTGTGTTGTCGAGACATGAAACCAGCTTCCAAATCCTTCAATTTAATTCCATCCAAAGGCAACATATATTTCTTTTCTTTTTCCTAAAAATAATTTAAGATTTTCTTAAAAAATTTAAAAAAAACCTCGTCATCTTTAAACCAAGAAAGACTTTCAGAAGTTAACACAAACCAGCATTCTCGTGAACCCCGAACAAAACTAATATTGTGCACAGAAAGCCATCCTTTCCTAATTACTTGATTGCCTAAATTCTTTTTTGTGCTAGTTGAAGAGGCTTTAGCTTCGGCATTTGAAAACCCAATAAAGTCCTCATGGTTGGTATTCCTTTAGAAAAGAAAGAATAAGAAAGAGAGGTAAAGCGTAGATATAGGTTATTAAGGGCGTAGTCAGAAGCTTCTGGGTCTAAAGCCCCCCCCCCCTCCCGAAATGTGGAAAAAGGAAAAATTTAAAGAGATTGAGCAAAAAAGTGGAATTCGCCTGCGGCGCTCTTGTAAGTTACATATTATTAAAAGGATAAAAGGGATTTATTAATAAAAGAGATTTATCAAATAAAACTTTTTCTTAGTTCAAGTCATTTTCAAAAATATAAAAACCAACATATAGGCCAACTCATAATCAACTATCATTAAAATTTGTTGTTTTGCAAAAGCCTCTTGTTGTCTCATATAATTTGTAACAATTTGTTCAACACAATCCCGCAACCGAGGATAACGGTTCACACATTCTGCACAACCTCTAACAACACTAGCTAATTCATTAACGACTAAATCAACGCATTTAAGTGAAGGTTCTTTTAAACGTTCAATTTGCTTTTTTACAATTGCTTCAAAGGCCATATCAGGTGTAAATAGACCAACACTAGAAAAGAGAAATTATATTAGTTAGTTTACTACAAAGATGTTGGAGAGTAATAGGAGCTCCCCTTGAAATCCCCTATTTTGGAAATAGTAATCATCCCAAATTTTTCTTAAGAAATAAAAAAGAGCAAACCGAATTCCATGAATATTTCTAATAGCAAATTGTATTTCTCGTCTCATTTCTTTCTCGTCAATTGTCATTTTAACAATTTCAAAAGGAAAACGCTCATGGAAAAGACGATTGATACGTGCACCACCAGAAAGCTCGTTTGTACTAACTAAGCGCGCTGAAGAACCTTCAATTGAACGCTCCATATCAGCAGTGAATTGTTGCACCATTCTACAAAATTGTTTAAAAAATAAAAAAAGGGATGAATTTAAGTCAAAAAAGGAAAGAAAAAAATCCGAAAATTAAAAAAAATCCCATCTTCAAGCAAAATTAATGTAAAATTCCAGAGTCAAAAAATTAAAAAAATTTTTTTGCCCTGAGGGGAATAATTTAAAAAAAAATTAAAAAATCAACAAACTGCATCAGAGCTTTAGTCTTTCTCGAAGGGTCATTAAATTGAAATTGTTTATATTCTTGTACTTCCTTTTCCATTGAATATAACTTTTTCTGAAGACTATCTCTTAATGTTGGCAAAGTATCTTTTATATGATTAGTTAATTGTTGATTGAGCGTTTTTTGTAAAAATGGGGTTCCCATTCGTTCAGCCATATGTCGATAGGAAGCATGAGACAAGAAAAATTTCCGTTCAGCATCCAAAGCTGCACGAATATCTTTTCGACCAACAATATCTTTTTGACTTCGATTAATTACTCCAACATAGCCTTGAAAAATAAAATTAATTTTTTTGAAAAGTCAAAAGTTTTTGCTTGAATATTTTTAAATAAAAAATTGAAAAAGAGTTCCTGATTCAAATTCATACACCAAAAAATCTTTTGAGGACTAAATTATTTGGTAATATTGAACCGGACAGACCCCTTTTTTCCTACCCAATTTTTTTCCTTTCTTTCCTCCATCCAAATTGCACTTGTATTCTATAAAATTAAATAATAATTTTTGTTTCATTGTAGGCAAAAATTATTTAGAAAGGCAATTTGGATGGAAGAAAGGAAAAAGTCTGACCATTTTGAAAAAATATAGGGGAAAAATTGGGTAGAAAAAAGTAGGTCTGTCCGGTTCAATATTACCAATTAATTTCCAAAAAAAATCCAACCAAAATTTTTAAATTAAAAATTATAACCTCTTCGTAACGGAAAAAGCCTATTTTCAAGAATATCTCTAGAATCAGTCCCCTCGTCCATCAAATCCAATTTGGTCAAAACTCCAATTGTTCTCAATCCCTGCGGGTCAACTTCCCTAGCAAGTTTTAAAGCATCAGAAGTTGCCAAATCACTATTTGCTGGAGTTACAGCCAAAATAAGGCAAGTCTCTCTAGTTATATATGTTAATATCATGTCTCGGATTTGATGTTCAATATCGACTGGTTGGTCACCAACAGGTACTTTTGTGAGTCCAGGTAAGTCAATCAATGTCAAATTGAGAACTTAAAAAATAATTATTTTTAGAGAACTTTCTTCAGTTTTAGAAGAAATAAGGTAAAATTTAATAGGGAAAATTGTCAAAAATTAAAAAAAAACCATGTGGACTGAAGACACGCAAATTAATCGGAATTTGTGAAATTCCTTTATTTGCACCAGTAACACGGTCAGTTTCATCCTCAATTTCTTTTCGAACCAAATCAAAATCAACAAATTTATGTCCTTTTTTGTGAAGAAACTCGGCATATTCTAATAAATTTTAACAAAATTTTAGCAAAAAATTATTTTACCAGCTCTCGGGTCATTAATTAATTGTAAAATTAAAGGTCTTCTAGTCACTATTCCGCTACCACGAGGCAAAAAATCTCTAAAAAAATTAAAAAATTAATTTTAAATTAAAAAACAAGTAACCAACTTTCCAACAAAATTTTCTAAAACAGAAGATTTGCCAGCACTCTGCCCTCCAACGACAGCAATCTGGGGTAAGTCAAAATTTAGTGTAGTACCGAGTTGAGAGAAAGCATCCTGAAAAAATTTTTAGTAAATTTGTAAAGAGGGATATAGACTGAAATTGAGGAAGGAAGGCTGACCATTATGTACACATTAAGGGCAGGCCCGTAGCCAGGGGGGGGGAATTCCCCCCCCCCCCCCCCCCCCGAAATGGGAAAAAGGAAAAAATTTGGGGAAGGGCTGGGGCAAAAAGTGAATTTTTTTGGCCTACGGCCTCTGAAATTTAATAAATTTTCGCCTGCGGCGCTAAAAAAGGAAAAAATCTGGCTTCTTGAGCTCCAAAATTCAAAAAATTTTCGCCTGCGGCGCTGAAAATAAAAATTTTCCCCCCTTGGCCCCACCCCAAAAAAAATCCTGGCCACGGGCCTGATTAAGGGAAAATAAAATTGAGAGAGGGCCTAAACACTAATAAAAATTTTTTAACAATTTTTTAATCCCTCTAATTATAATTTTAAAAAACAAAAAAACCTGAATTCTATTAATTAACGGAATTAACGCTTGCATTCCTTGATTGACCCAAGCCATTTTTGTTGTTTAAAATTTCTGTAGTCAAAATATATATTTTTTAAAATTAATTTGTTGTTTAAAGCAAAGCAGTCTTTGTGAAAAAAAGAAAGAATTGTTTCAATCTGTCAAAAAATATTGGAAAATTATAAAAAAATAAAATTGATTTTTGCCCCCTTCTTAAGAGAGAGAAGCTGGCATTTCCGCTTTTTTCTTTTTTATATTGGAAAAATTGGCACAAAAAAGTACACACACAAAAGGGACGCCTTTTCCCTTAAGAAAAAAAAAATAAAAAAAGTATTCACTCAAAAAAATTCCCTCTTTATACAATTAGCTCTTCAAAAAAATAAAAAAAAAATCTTCGTTCAAAAAAGAAGTGAAAAATAAATTTAGAAAAAAATTCTGAAGAGGAAATACAAACGTTTATTTAGAGTTAGCGAGTAAAATTAAAGAGGGAAAAGTGACATTAAATGCTTAATTGTGCCAAATAAAAAAAAGAAAAGTAATAATTTATGGCTAAAATTTAAATAAAAATAAAGTGAAAATTAATCCAAAAAATCAAAATCTGAAATTTTTTGAAAATTCAAAATTTCAAAAGAGCAGGACGTTTTACCGACTTTAATTAAAAGAGACATTTGGTCGGAGCCTTATAAATTTCTTACGGTAATCTTTTTAATAGAGCTCGAACTTTTCATTTGCCGGGCCGGGTTTTTTTCTTCCAAGTTGACCCGAGCCGGGCTTCCGGGCTAAAAACCTCGAAAACCCGGAAAAACTCGGATTTTATCAAAATACCAGGTTTCCGGACTACCAGCCCGGAAGAGAGAGAGAGAAAAACCCGATTTCGGGGCCGGCCCGGGTTCGAGCTCTACTTAAAAAAAGAACTCCCTAACGACATTAAACTTTTATGGAAATTCTACTCTAAATTGTCAGGTTTTAAACTTAGCTAAAAAAATTTTTTTCATTTTTAAAAAATACAATTTTTAAACTTATTGTCTCTCAAAAACTTCAAAAGATGACACAAAAAAACTCCTCTACTCAAAATATCCACCCAATATTCTTTTTCAATTTTATATGTGAATTACTTTATATTTCGGTCAATATTTATGGAAAGCTTTAAATTTCACCCCCGACGGCGTTTTGTTTGCTGCCGCTATTTTCCCAAAAAAAAAGAAAAAAGATTTTCTTTTCTATTCCTTTTTTGGTTGTCTCTTTTATTTTGTGAGAGCAGCCAGCCAGCACTCCACAAAACGCCACGAGAAATGGCCAGCAAAACATCGTGGTATTTGAGAGGGAATTTTTGAAAAGGGAGGGAGAGAGTTGCGTAGGAACGCTTTTTTATTATAGAAAACAAAAAATATATAAAATTATACAACGTTAAAATAAGGACTTAAACAGAGACTCTCACGCTTTTTTTTGTTTTTAGCTCAAAAATGGGGGAAAATAGGGAAAAAGATGAATAACACTATAATTTAAAAAAGTGTAAATTAATAAAAATATCCTATCAATTTTTAATTATTTTTAAATGAGGCCTGACATATTCTTTTGTTTAAAAGAGAAAAATTTAATTTCAAAATTATTCTCCATTAAACAAGATCGAACTCTTCCCATTCTCTCTCCCAATAAATTAAAAATATCCCACTACATCAAGGTGACAACCAGTGCTGGGTATTTGCCATTTGTTGGCTCCGGCTCCTGGGTTTTCAAAATCTTAGCTCCGGCTCCGGAGCTAGCTCCCGGAGCCATACCCAGCACTGGTGACAACTCTCTTGAGGGTTAGTGTGTACTTTACTGGGGGGGGGGCTTAATCTAATGATATTTTTAAAAGATCATTAAAAGATTTTCCTTGTTTAGACAATAAAAAAGACTGGATAAGTACAGTAGAATTATGGAAATAAATTTAAATCTGAAGATATCTAAATCAAACTCTAATTTTATTTAGAAATAAGGAATTCTTTGAAGGATATAGAGGTAAACAGAGTAGTTAATAGAGGTAATTTAGAGAGACAGACTTTTAATTTCATAAAAATGTACTTTTATTTTTAACAAAATTTTAATATTTTATTAATTTTTTCGATTGCTTAATGAATAATTTTGAAAAAAAATTTTTATAAAAAATATTCCGAAAGAAAAAGCGCAAAACATGATTAATATACATGACTCATACAAATTAATTGGGTATAAATTAAAATTGAAAAATGGTTCAACATTTGAAAAAGGAGAGAAGGGAAAGGAGAGAGATTGGTAAAGGTATTTGTATTTTTATATAAAAAGAAGGTCCGATATCTAATTAAGAGGAAAGGATTGAATTAATGACAAATGCTTGTAGTGAAGGTAAAAAATAAATTGGGGACATGAAATTTAGAATATTTTCCCGTGAGAATATTTTCTCCTCCAATTTAGATATGAAGTAATGAGGGCAAAATTGTGAAAGGAAAATCGAGAAAAACGCAATGAATGAAATAATTTTTATTTAAAGCCAAGAAATTTTTCTCCCTCAAAAAATTTTTATGAAAAGCCGGTAGAGGGAACCCTTTAAAAATAAATTTTTATGATTTTTAAAAATGGCCACAACCAGTGTAGGTATACCCTAAAAATGATTGGATACTAAAAACAAGTAAATTAGACAAAAGGGGAATAAAATGCGATTATAAGAAGAAGAATGGATTTACTTAGAAATATTCTTTTATTTAATTATTATGTGAAATAAAACAAGAAATTGTGCAACCTTTTTATTCTCCTTTTGTTAAATCGATCGAATAAAAAAACAAGTTTTTCTAACTCAATCCTTTTCTTCTAATTAAATTTTAACAAATTTAAAATTTAAATTCGTGTAAATAAATAAAATAATGATTAACAGAAAATTTAAAAAATTTTACACTTTAAATTTAAAATGGAATTTTCTCTTTAAGACCTTCCTTACATTTATTTGTATCATTGCCCCCTTTTGGGGCCCAAAATTTGCCTACTTTTGGACAAGGGAAATAATTTTCTCTTATTTTCCAATAAAGGACGTTGTGGTTTTTGATAGTTACTAATAATTCTCACAAATATACCTATTCACTTCTTATCAGAACGAAGAAATCCTTATCTCCGAAATCCCTACATTTCCCTCTCTCATTTCTTCACAATTTTACACAAAAATCATTCCTTTCCTAAAGAGCTACATATTAATTAAATTTTATTTTCCATATTTTACGCTTCCCCCCTCTTCTTTTTCAGGAAATTTAATACCCTCTAATTTTTCTAGCAATTTATTTATTTAATTTAAAAACAATTATTCATCCAAATAAACAAAAATCAATTTTATTAAATTTATCGATAAATTAATTATAAACAAAAAAAGCACAGACACAATACGGCACTAAAATATAAAATAATAAATACAAAAAAATAAATATTAAAAATAAATAAAAAATAATAATTGGAACAAAAATAAATATTTATAAATTAAAGAGAGAAAGAAAGCTAATTTTATTGCAGAGATTTTTATTTTTAATTTATTTTGGTGTAGAGAAAAATGCAAAGAAAAGGGGAATTAATTAAATCTGGTTTTAATTAATTAATTCTGATTTTCTGAAATTATTTAAAAAATACATTTTGTGTTTTGTTCTGGTTTTGTATTTTTATTTTTGTGTAGCTGAAAATACAGAAATTCTGATTATTTTTCTGAAATTAATTTTTGTGTTTTGTGTTTTTTCAAAATTCTGAAAATTAATTTTCTTTTGGTGAGAGACAATAATGAATAGAGAGAGAATTAAAGCTTAATTAAATAATTAAATAAATCAGAAAATAAAGATTATGTACATAAATGTATAGCAGCTGTATATATTTCCTTTAATGTCCAAGGGAATGGACAATAAGTGGTAACTAAAATAACAGCATTAATCCAATAAATGTGTGGATTTTAAAAAGAAATTTGAAAAAATTTTTGAAAATTTTTTGTTCAGGTTACTATTGGAATTACCTGTCATAAGTTAAAAATCTTCAAAATAATACTGTTGAATTTGTAAGAACTTGTCCTACAAATAAATTAAATTTTGGTTAGTAATTTTGGAAATTAAATGGACTTTCCAATTATGATTTAGTCAAAAATATATACAAATATTTGAAATAGAACAAAAATATCGTTAGAAAATAAAAATTAAGATCCCCCTTCTTTTAATGCCAATTTTAAAAATAAATTCAAACAAAAAAGGAATGAAAGTATTGCAGAAAATATATACATAGAAGAGTTTTTAAATAATTTAATGTCTTTTGAGATTCCAACAAAAAATTAAAAAAAAATTTTTGCACACAAAATTTAATTATTTTTTTAAATATTCAAGTGAATTTTTTTAATTTCTGGTGTCCCATTTTCATTTGAAGAAGAGGAGTGATTTGTGCCACGAAGAGAAGTTGAATTAATTATATTTTTATTTAATGTCCCATTTCCATTTTTTAAAATTTGGTCAAAAACTTGGGACTTTCTTTTTGCATTTTCTAATTTTCTTTTTTGTTCGTCTTGTTTACGTTGTAATTCTTTAAAAAAATTTTTTTGAAAAATTTTTTTAAAAATTTCTACCTAATAATTCTTTGCTAATTAATGTTGACTCTAAAGTTGCTTGTATATAACGAGAATGAATTTTTTCACCAAAAAGTGAACACAAATCTAGAGCTATAGCAACGCCTGATAAACGCTGGGCTGCTAAAATATGTAAAAGTAAAAATAAATTTTTTTTTAATTTAGAGACACTAGACCCGGTTAAAAACCCTCTCACTTTTCAAATTTTAAATAGTTTAATCTTAACGAAAATAGACCTAGTTTAGATATAAATCTTTCAATTTTAAAATGTGAAAAAAATATTTTGAAGACTAAAGTTTAATTGAATCCCTTTAATTAAAAAATTTTTTTCTTTTACCAAATTCTTCACTAACAGCATTTCCCCCAGTCAAATAAATTTGTTTTAAACGTTCTAATGTGTCACTTAAAGTTTTTAGCATATCCTCAAGTAAACCCATATTACGCATTTGGGACCAAAACATACTGGCATCTAAATAAATTAATTAATAACTTAAATATTTTTTACTTAATATATTTTATTTATTTAAAATTAATTTTCTCCAAAAACATTTTTAAATTTATTTCCATACTTTCTTCCATACTTTTCCGAATATTTGAAATATTTGTAACAGCTGCTGGTTGTTCATTATGTTTTAATGGAGTTCGTTGTTGTTGTTGTAATTGTTGAGATAATGCTGCAGCTGCTAAAAGTTTTTCAATTCCGTTACCTTTAAAAAATAAAAAAAAATTTAAATAAAAAATATCAAAGTCTCTAATTTATAAATAGGAAAAGTTAGATTATCATAATTCTTTTTGTTTTTAAAGTTATCTTTTCACTAGAAATTTATGGGCTGGTTGGATCTTGGATTCAGTGTCAAGATCCAGGGATTTTCTGAGTTGCTTGATTTTTCTTGCCCAAAGGTAAAGAATCTAGTCAAGGTTATAAAGATTAAGGTTTTTAAAAGTTGAAGGATTTTTACTAGCTACTCTCCAGTCCCAGTTCGAAAACCCAAAAAGCTGTTAGGGGAGAGAAGCCTTTAGAAAGTTTAAAGAACCTATGCTTACTGCGTTAAGGTTTCTATTAAATACTTTCTAAAATATATTTATATGTAACTACCATTAATTAAATTTTTATTTGAGAGTAATGAAGAATGTTGTTGTTGTTGATTGTGATGAAGTGTTGATGCTGTTGTTGTTCCCCCTCCACTCCCATTTAATGTAGACACTAATTGTGCTAATAATAAATTATTTGGATTATTATTTTGATTTAAATTAGCTGCTTTTTGTTGTTGTTCTAAAATTATGGAAGTTTGGACTGATTGAAGTAATAAAGCTATAGCTGCCTCTTGTGTTAAATTATTGTTAGAATTTTCTATTGGAGGAGGTAAATGAGTAGAAGGTAGTGGAATTGAGGAAGATGATGAAGGTTTTGGAATATTTGGTGTTTTGATAGTATTTTCTATATGTCCTCCATTGCTTAATTAAATAATAAAAATATTTTAGGAATTTGAAAGGGGTATTGAAAATTAAGAATTGCTTCTTGAGTTAGATGACCGAAAATATCCCCTAAAAAATAGCAAAAGATAAGATGAAACTCGATCCTATAACTATATATCCTACTTTACATCCTATGGGACTCGATACTATACATATCCTTAACTCGATTCTCCAATTGAAGCTTGATAACCCGCCTAACTATTCCATCATCTGTTAAGCTGGGAGGAAACTTCTGCAGCCTTATATTTATTGTTAAATAACCCTCAACATAGGAGCTAATCATAATAGGTTATTCTTTTATTAATTAAAATTTATTTTTACGAGCCCTAAATTTTGATTGAATCCATAAGAGTATAGAATATAAAAAAGGAATGATTTTAAAATAATTTTTAAAAAACATCCAAAACAAAATTTATTTCTACCTATTTAAAGCAATCCCATTATTTTGAGATAAATTCTTTGGTAAAAGTAATAATTGTTTAAGAGGACTATTATTATTATTTTGGTGTTGTTGTAATTGAAGTAAAGTATTTAAAGTATTATTATTTAAAAGACTAGCAGATTCTCCTCCTTTTTTAAAATTACTAATTAATTCTGATGGAATATTTGGAGAATTTAAAGGAATTGAGGATGTTGAGGGGAGGAAAGTATTTGTTGTTGTTGTTGAAGGGGTAGATGAAGAAGGGGAAGAATAAAAAGTTTTTGAATTATTTTGAGATGTCAACATTTCCTCTTCTTCTTCAATTTCATTCAAATAATCAAAATTTTGGTAATTATTGTTGTTTTGGTGGAGGTGGTGAGGATGATGATTGTGATGGTCTGAATATATTGGGGGAACTGTTTGACAAGCAAATTCTTCTAATACTGAAGAGCTTTTTCGAGTAGAAGTAGCTGAGGAACAGGCTGACGAAGGGATTGATTTAAGACTAAAAAATAAATAAAATAAGAATATTTTCAAATAAAAATTGCAAACTCTAAAACAGGGGTGTCCACAATTGCAGATTGCGTGAAATTGCTTTTTTTACTTGCGGATTGCGTTTGCTGATTGCGTTTTTTTCTTTTTTCGGGCACCCCCGCTCTAAAAGCCCCTAACATGGCGAAAACGAGTGAAAAATGGAATATTAGAGTACTAAATTAGAGGAAAAATGAGAGAAAAAATCGGCCGGATGGCATGCCTTTCTATAATAAATACTGTATTTCCCCGTCATTTCCCCCAATTCATTTTAACAATCTCCAATTAACAAGCTTAAAATAATACAAACAACTCACTCATTAATTTCACACATTTCACTAAATCTTTCAGAATTATTATCAGAATTTATATTCATTTCATTATTTCCACCTTCTGCTTTTCTATTCTTTATATAATTTCGACTTTGACATTTTAAACTACAATTAATTTCGTGTTCATAAAAATCCAAAGTTTTCATTTCCATTAAAGTTCTAAAAAAATAGCGAAAATCTTTTCAAATATTTTTTAAAAATTACCTTAAATTATGCTTTCCTAAACGAATACTTCCTTTCCAATCTTTTTGTTTATCCTTTTCTGCTTTAATTGTAAATTGTCTTGGACTAATTAATTTACCTTAAAAAATTATATAGAATTGGGGGTTTTAGAGAAAAAATTTTTAGAGCCCGAAGGGTGGCAGAAAAGTCATTTTGAGGCAAATTTTTAGTGGAAGTTATCTTGTCGGCCGAACGCCCAATAAGATATCTATAAATTATGGCATGTGGAGAGCAAAGCCCAATAAAAGATTTTAAATAAATTTTTGTACAGAGTGTTTTATGTACATATTTTCTTTTTTTTTTATTTTCAGAATTTAGTATTTTTCGAATAAGTTGGATATACCACCCCCCATCGAGTGAGTATCAGTTATTTCTCCTTCTTCATTTTTTGTTATATTTGGTAAAGCAATAAGATTCAATTTTTTCTACAACAGTACTTATAGTATTGCTTGAAGAAAATAGATGATAGGCATGAAGAACTGATACTCAAACTTTGGAGGGGGGGGCATATCCAAAAAGTACCAGAATGTTTTCTTAATTTAAAAAATAATTTAACAAATTCCAACCCACCCTCAAATTCCACACATTTTCTATGTATTCCTGGACATGTAAATCTAATCATGTGTAATTTCCCAATTAAAAGTCCACAACGTATTTCGTGTACAGGAGCCCCAATTAATTCTTCATTTGGAGGTAATTCATCCCCAGAACATTCTTCTTTTTGGCAATAATTTGAAGAAGATGAAGGCCTTGTTGGGGTTTGGATTTGTTGTTGTTGAAGGTGTTGACTTTCATTTTGTTGTTGGAAAATTAAATTATTATTATTGTAGTTATCTACTCCATTTAATTCCTAAAAATAATTAAAAATATTAGCTTTGATAAAATAATAAAGAGAAATGATTTGCAAATAATTTTTAGATCAAAGCAAATACAGTAGTTTTTTTTGCAAAAACACTAAGTGCTTTATTGGAGGAAATGGAGTTAAAAATATGATAAAGTTTTAAATTCATACAGTCACAACTCACTATATACAACATATTAACTAGGCCCATAAGGGTTGACAGATTTTAGAAAAGCCAAAAAGAATTTTTATTTTCAACGTAAATAAGTACGGGGTTGTTCAGGAAAGATATTGTCAAGGAGTTCGAGCATATTCTTATCAATAAGATCCGGACGAGTAACCTTTGGATATCCGGATCCGCCAACCTAATAGGAAACTCCCCCATATACTGCCCAACTGTATTAATCTTGATTAGTAAAAAAATATTTTTTTAAAAATCCACCTCATCTTCCAAACAATTTTCATTTTTTACATTAATTTGTTCCTCAAAATTTAAATTTCCACTACTAAATTCATTTATTCCTTCAATATTCTGTTGGTTATTTTGTTCATTAAATTCCATAAATTCTTCTGATTTTAATTCTTCATTCGAAATTTTATCTGACGAAAATTGGAATAAATTAGGAGCATTTACTTGTTTTTCTGAATTGATACTGTCCAAACAATCCATAAAAACTTTATTTTAATTTCTTAAATTAATTAATTTACAAAAATAAATTTCAAATTTAAACGAAAAGAATATTTAAGAAAAGACGAAAGGGCAATACCAAGGCTGTACCAAGGGTAATACCAAGGCCGGTCCCTCCTTATTTTCTGTTCTATTTTTTTCATTTTGCAGATTATATCCATTCGAAAGAGCTCTTCGAGCTGAGTTGAACGATACTAAAATCATCGAAATCCGACTTAAATCAACATAGTTATGAGCATCTATCTTAATCCCTTTCAACATCACAAAAAGCATGTCCATCGAGGATTTTGCTTGATAATTTTGTACAAAATCGCCAAATATACCCGATATTGGTATCATTCTACCCAACTCGAACAGTTCTTTCGGATGATATATTGTAAATGGTATGTCAAGCAAAAAAGCTCAAAATGGTCATGGAAACAGAAAAAAGGGGGGGGAAGCCTTGGTATTACCGAAAGGAAAATTTCTGCTTTCACGACGACTTTTAAAAAATAAAAATATAGTTGGCAGTTAAATTAAGCTAAAATTAATCGAGAAAAAAATTTAAAATATGATGATTTGGAAATTCTAAACATCAACTAAAGCTGCTAATATTTATTCAAATGTTTGTACAACGTGAAATTTATACAAAATTGTACATACAACAAAGAATAATAAGGAATAAACTAAATACTAAATTTTAAGCTTTTTAGAAATTAAAAAAAAAGAGAGGAAGGGATGTGTTCCTCGATTTCTCAATTTCAAATTACCAAAATGTACACACACGTAAATATAAACACGTAAGTAAGAAAAAAAAGAAAGGCAGAATAAGCAGCCAGCCATTCATTCGCAACCTCAAAACTGACCCTAAAAAATTTATGTTCTGATTTTTTACGTTAAACGTTCTTCCCCCTGTCTAAAACAGCTTTTTAGCAAAAATAAAAAGTTGTGAAATAATAAACGAACACATGTGTTGGTTGTGAACTGAAAAAGAGTAAAGGCGTGCTAAGGAGAGGAAGGGCACCGTTTGAACGGGAGGATGAGGAAGGAAAGCGACGCAAAAAAATAAAAAAGGGGGACGGTTAGTGACGACTATGTTGACGCGTTTTGGATAAGAAAAAAAATATTAGCGTGGCGTGGTTGACGTACCCATCGGGGGCGAATAGAAAGAGCAATGAAAAAAATACGAAAAAAATAAAAGGGTTACTAGCTAAATGACTTGGATGACTAAAAAGTAGTGGACAGTTGTGTGTGTGTTGAGAAAGGTTCCTTCCACCCTCTAAGGCTTTTCATTTGGATGGCTAACGCTTTAGTACGGCTGTGAAGGGCCTAGACCCTTCGGCCCACATATAGAGGGCCAAATACGCTTCAACGCCGAGAGGGAAAAAGAGGACGCGCCCCATTGCCCACTCAAATATAGCCTTAATGTCCACTCTGTCATACATACACGCAGCCCCGAAGGCAGACCAGACAAATATATATTCGCTACTAAAAATACACGGCGGTCGACCGATGTTTTAAGGCACATTGAGAGACGAAAATAAAGAAGTGACGAATGAGGAAATGGTACATCTATAAGAAAATTGAATGGGTTAAGGAAAGAAAAATGGACGCAAAAGGCGTTTGGGGAACGAGTGGAGGGGGTTGGGGACACAAAATGAGATGGCCGTTGGGGAGAAAGCAGTGTGTATACGAGTTCGGAATTTCTCGATGGACAGCTATTCAATCTTCTTTTTGTGTCTCCTTTAAAGTTAAAATAGGTCAAAGTCTACGGAAAAAAACTAAAAGTTTTTCTAAGAATGGAGAGATTTTCGAAATTGAGAAAATCACGGATTACTGTAAGACAAACTTGATTAAAAAATAACATGGAAGAATACAGAAAGTGAAGGGAAACTCTCAAAGTCACGTAAAGAGGTAGGCGGAGACACTAAGAAAGTTTAATTCGAAGTTAGAAAGAGATGATCTTTAAAATTCTCTCTCCTAATAAAAAATTGAGAAGCTAATGTATGTAAATAAATTCAAAATTTGTCAAAACAAGTGTCTCTATAAAAAATTCTAAAAATATAAAAAGCTTTCTAAAAATGGACAACAAAACAAGTATTAGGCGGGCACTAACACGGAGAGACGCTGGACGGCCATGAAATAGCCGCCACATTGAATGAGTGAAAAAAGGAAAGAAAGAAATGGACAGATGAGAAGAAAATCTTCGAATGGTCGGCAAAGTATAGGCAACGGCTGCTGGTTGTAATTGGGGATGAAAAGGTTCGAAAAGAAAGCGAACAGCGGGTGGAGGGAAGGGGTGGATATACTAAAAGAAAAGAAGCATCTACTAGACTTAAACCCCCTTCCTCTTTTTTTCGTGCCCGACGTCCGCCATTCAACGGTCGACGCCATTCTTTTAAAACAAGTCGGTGGTAGTGCCGAGTAAAATATATGGAGGGGTAAATCAGGCAAAAAAGAAGAAAAAGGTTTGGCTACTTTTTATTTATAAGCATTATATCTTCTCTCCTAGCTAAGCTAGCCATTGGCCAAAGAGAGAATGAAAGAAATGCTCTAAAAACTAGCCATCTTTTTTATAATCAATTTTTTCTCGGACAACCATTCCAAGCATTTTAACACTTTCCTTCTCCCCAATGTGTGTGTTCGTTACTTAATTTTAAAGACTGAAAAGGAAGAAGAAATGGACAACAAATGTTTTTGGGGGTTGTTTTTGAGTTCGGTTAAAACAAGAGAAACTTTTATAAAATAAATGAATGTCCAGTTAAATAAATAAAAACTTTTTTTGTGTTGAAGATTGTACGAATTTATTTTTATTTTTTTAGTCTTGAGGAGTTATAGTAATTTTTAAGGAGAATTTCAAAATTATTTGGAACTGAGGGATTAGAAAGTTGTGAACAAAAATAAATAAAGGAAAGAAAGGTTATTTACCTAAATATGAGATTATTGTTAGATACTAGAGATCGAGATTTTTGTAAAGCCAGCAGGACCTGTTCCTAGACTCTGGGGTTTGCTTTATTGACCTGGCCCGGATTCTGGGCCTATAGTCTAGGAAAACCCCAGGAAGGTCAAAAAATGCCTGAGCCTGGACTCTGTGTACAGGAAAACCCTGGCCCAGGTCCAGCTCGATCTCTAATAGATACACAAGACAATTTGTAAAACCCTCAAAACTAAAAACAGGAATAGTGGAGAGAGTTGAACTCTTCTCGAACGAAGCCACGAGAAAGACCCAGCAAAAGAATACCAAAAATATCAGCAAATACCCACAACAAGATCAGAAAAAAATATTCTTCTTTTACTTAATAAGCATAAAACTTATAAAAAGCAATCAAATAATTTTATCATTTTTTAAAATAAAAAAGTCAAAGTTTCTTCTTTACTTTTACCACCCATAAATATCTTCTTTTTTATGTACTAAATAAACGTAATTTTTGCGTGTTGAAAGGAAAAAATAATTTTTTAAAAGGAAAAATAATTTATTTGCGTGACTTTTTGAAATAAACAAAAATTTTTGACATTTTCTTTTTAAAAAATTTTTTAGTAAAAATTTAAAAGTAAAAATAAATAAATATATAATTTATATATTTTTAGTTTTGACGGCTGACAGTTTAAAAGATCACGCAATTGTGACAAAATAAAAAAGGAGGGGAAAAGAAGAGGGGGGGGGGAGAAGTAAGTGCCCACAAATGGATAATAAATAAATAAAAGCTAGAGAGCATCTTCTCTTTATTTTCGCAATTTTAAATTTATGGACAAAATAAAATTGTTTAAGAAAAGGTTTTAAATAAAATAAAATATTTTTGAAAAAATTATTTTTTTTAATTTAAAAAATAAAAATTAAATAATAAAAATAACACGCAATAAAACGTAAAAATTACATAATAATGTGTCTTTTAATAATTTAAAAAAAATATTTTTTTTCAAAAATTGTGTCAATAAATTGTGTTATTAAAGAAAAATAAAAATTGACAAAAAAATTTAGAAAAGTTTAAATTTAATAAAAATTAGAATTTTGAGTTGGAATATTACCAAAAATTAATTAATTATTTAATTAGTTTATATTTTGTTTTAATTGTTTAAATCCTTTTGGTCTGTTTTGTAGGCAAGGAATTATGCTTAATAACCCTAGAGTTTGGAGTCTCTTAGGAAATCAGCCTTTCGGGAATGGAAGAAAATCTCATCCGAGGTGGTCCAAACTTTTGCCCAAAATTTTTCCAGACGCCTTTCCAGGCGCCTTCTTTCCAGACGCCTTTCTGTATTCAAGCAAAGAGTGGGTGTTTCGAAAATTCTTGATTATTTTTGTTCCTTATTTAATTCTCTATCATTTTAGCTTTATTTAAACTCAATATCTTAGATTTTAATAAAGAAATGTCATAAATAATGTGTCCTAAAATTTTCTTGTCACTTTGTAGAATTAATTTGTTAAAAGTCTTTTAAATATTTTATTTTAAAATTCCAAATTTAAAAAAAAATAAAAAAATATTCCTGTAATTCTTTTACAAATTAGAGATACTTTAACACAATTTATCGAATAATGGGTGAATTGTGTGTGAGATAAATTTAAATAATTATTTTTTTGACAGATAAAATACAATGAAATATTTACCTAATTTATTATTTATTAACCTTTTAAAAAATCTCCTCCCAAAAATTTTTCTACAAAAAGTGAAAATGAAAAGATTTTTTTGAAGTAATGGCCAAAAAAGAGATAATCTTTCCTTCGTCCGTAAAAAAATAGAAAGAACTTCCAAAGTTTTTCTCTTTTAAAAATGAATGTCCGACCGACTTTTTGTTGCTGCGCACGCTATTTACAGTTAGGTAAAGTAAACAAAAAAGTAAAGAAAATGAAAGAGAAATGAATGGGTCAAGAATTGAGAAAGGAATAAATAAATAACTATTTTTGGATTTTTTTTGGAAAAGTCTTGAAGCTTTATTAATGGAGAAAAAAATAATTTGAAGAATAGGACAAAGTAAAAGAAAAATTGGGGGAAAATTGTGCAGATTTTATAGAAGAAAGTGCAGATTTTATAAAGTCTGATTTAAACAATAAATTTTATGACAACATTCTATATGTACTTTAAATAATAAAATTGTGGTGGATATATCTTAATTTAAGTAAAGATAACAGAAAAGTCACAAGATTTGAACTTAGTTCAAATTGTTGCGAATGAGGATTTTTGGATTGTGAAAACTACGCCTTTTTATAAAATATTAGAATTAGGCTTTTCAAATTTCCAGAACACAAATCAGGGTTTTTTAAATTAACATGGATCCAGATCGAGTTTTAGGCTAAAACTCTAGAATCTAATCACAAATTATATGTACAATTCTTGTATAGATCAGGATGGGTTAAGATATTTTTTCAAGTCAATTAATCTTTAAAAAATTTTTTTATCCATTTATTGTTAAAAAATAAAAGTTTTTAAAAGAAAATTAAAATAAATTTTAAAAAACTACAAGAAAAAGCTAGTAGAAACAATTTTCATCTCAAAAAAATTTTCTATCGGGTGTGAGTGACACGCCTTTCCACAACGCGCGTCTTCAAAGTAAAAGTGAATAAAAAACGCAGCTTTTTTGAGGACCGGTCAGTAGTCAAACAATTTTTTTGTTTTTTTTGGCCAAAAATAAATAAATAAATATATACTTTTACTTTTAAAAAGTTTAAATAGAAAAGGAAAAAACGCAAAAAAAATCAGGACAGATCGCGCGGCGTCCTAAAAAAGGTTCTCTCCTCTCTTTTATTTTCTTTCAATTCGCGTTGATAAAAATAGAATATCCAACGTTTACATAAGTAAATATAAAAGAAAAATTAGGAAAAAAAGAAAGGCCGAGAGCAAATAAAATAAAAATATATATTCGCGGCCATCGTCCGAGAAGCGCAAAAGAAAAAAAACTGAAGAAATTGAAAAAAAAAGAAAATAACTTTTTTTTGTTGAAAATTAGCCGTAATGTCCACTTTTGTATTTTTATTAAAGGAGTAAAAAAAATATTTTAATAATTTGTTAAATTATTTAGGAAGTGTTTGGAATAAAATTAAATATAAATAGTAACAGTCGGAAAAAACTATGGGGTCGCTATAGTATAGGTCCACCGAGATCGGAACTCATAGTATATACCATTCGATTCGTCTCGCCGAGCTGAGTTCAAATATGCAAGAATTTTCTGCGGGACGCGAAAACTCGCAGAGATACAGGCGATTGAAAATCGAAAAAACAAAGGGGGGGCCAAGCTGATTGTTGGAGTCAAAAATTCGAATATGCAAATTATACCTCATTCGAAAGAGCTCGTCGAGCTGAGTCGAATGATACCAAAATTAACGAAATCCGACCCTATATAGCCGAGTTACAGACCCCCGAAATTTGGTAATTTCTGGGGTCAAAAAATTCGAATATGCAAATAATACTTCATTCGAAAGAGCTCGGCGAGCTGAGTCGAATGACACCAAAATCACCGTGATTGGACAAGATTAGACAAAGTTATGACACAAAAAAACCTAAACCTATGGAGCGTCGGCGAGGCGCTTGTGCAAAACCCCGCGCTTCGCGCGGGGTTTTGCGGCACGCGCCTCGCGGGGAGTCTACGGGCGCTGGGTCTGGGCTAGTAACATAAACCTATTCCTAAATCTCTTGCTCTGGACGTATTTTGGGGCCTCCGTAGCAGCAAAAATCTCCACAGATGCCATAGGTAAGGAGCTAAAAGAAAAGATCTTAACTTTGTCTATTCAAGTCGGATTTCGTTGATTTTGGTGTCATTCGACTCAGCTCGACGAGCTCTTTCGAATGAGGTATAATTCGCCTATTCGAATTTTTGACACCAAAAATCAGCTTGGTCCCCCCTTTGTTTTTTCGATTTTCGTGGGCCTGTATCTCTGCGAGTTTTCGTCTCCCGCAGAAAATTCTTGCATATTTGAACTCAGCTCGGCGAGACGAATCGAATGGTATATACTATGAGTTCCGATCTCGGTGGACCTATACTATAGTACAGCCAAAACTATTAAAAAGTATTGCTATTACAATAAGCCGGCTTCTTCTCACTTTTCCTTGTATGTACTCACATAAAAATGCGTTTTGTCGCACGCGTCAGGCCGGCTGCGACTTTCTTTCGTTAAAAATATGTTAAATTTTTTGCGAAATTTTTTTAATTTTTTTTATGCTGACTATATTTCTCGGTCACTATTCCTCCTTAAAAATACATATTATTTTATTTAAAAATAATTATTTGGCTGGCACAGATATATAAATAAACTTTTAAAAAATATAAAAGCGTGAATTTGTGCCATTTGGTGAAAGGAAACGGAAAAATAAAGAAAAGAAGAACGCGTGTTTGAGTTGCTTATTTTTTCCTTTTTTTGATGGTGGGAAGGTTTCATGGCACGATTGAAGAAATGTTTTAAAAGAAAAATGAATGAAAGATGGCACAAAAAAATAAAAGAAAAAGCTAAGTGAAAAGACCAATAAAAGACTAAAGATTTAAAAATAAAAGCGTAAAAATTAAAAAATATTTTTTAATGGTTCATAATTTAGAGAAAAAATGTCGAAAAAAGTGAAAAAATATTCCAACTACACTGCTCCACATAATTATAAGTCCACCTCTTTTTTCGGGATTTTTTG